TTGAAAGCGAGCAGTAGCAACGTTTTTCGAAATAAAGCATTTTTATCTCCAACGCGCAAGACTGTTGCCACTCGGGAAAAATGAGTGCGAAAATTAGTGTTTTCAGAGTTTTTAATTAATATTCCGGCTGAAGTCGTAGGAAGATGGGAATAGTCAAAATGGCTTCCCACAAAATTTTGGAATCGGGAATACTGTATTTAATGGTTGGCAATGCTATTTTTATTTCATCGTAAAACTTAGAAATTTTTTATTAACAAACTCTATGATTTGAAAGCAAGCAGTGGCAACAACTTTCGAAATAAAGCAGATTTTCATCTCCAGCTTGGGAGACTGTTGCCACTCGAAAAAATGATGGCGAAAATTATCGTTTTTCCGACTTTTTAGTTAATACCTCTGATTTTAGCTACTTTTGGAAAAAAAATAGACATCGATCTTTTCCAGTACCCAGAAAAGAATTGTAGAAAGTTTGGTAACGATATCTATATATTATTAGATATCGTTACCAAACTATTTTTTTTCGCTAATAACCAATACATTAGTTATTAGAGGAAAAAAATTGACTTTCTTCTTTATATATATATATAGATAAGGAAATTCAAACGCTAATGTTAGTAAATGTTTCAAACAACCAATAAAGCAACCAAAAGGAAATTAGCACGTTTAATTTCAGTAGTTGCTTACCTGTTTTGAGTCATTACTACTCTTTTTAAAACATTTCTGAAAACTATTTGTAACTAATATTATACCTGATTATTTATCTGTTTATAATTAAATTAGTGGAAGTTACTTTTTGTTACATTTTCACCATAAATGAATCATTAACATTGATTTAACAAAATATTTTATTAAAAAAATTTAGGATATATATATTAGATTTATATATAGCATTGTTCTAATATAGGTATTTGACACAAAATCGGACTTTTTCTGAAATAACATACTATGTTTTTACATATTTCGATTCTGCAACTGAAATTACGCCAAACTGCCAAGTCTTGTAAAAGTCACACGAGTACTTTTTAAAACATTACCTCTCAAAGTTTTAGCTCCTCAATATTAATTGGTTTCGTATATATTTATTAATCTCTCTGTTTTATTAAACTTATTTGATTCTTCCTTTCACATTTCGAAATTCAGATTCATTCCAAATAAAATTCGCCCATTTTTTTATGATTTATTGTTAAATATTATGTATTTAAATAATTTTTATAAATTTTTCAAAAAAAATTTGAATTATAATCTGTAAAAGTTTTACCAGCATCTTAAAGTAGGCATATTTCTAAGCATACTTGCAAAAAATTACAGGTTTTTATTCAAAATTTCCGAAGATATGCGTGAATTTATATATTGGCGTGTTTTGAAATTTGGCATATTTGTTGAAAGCGATAAAACGTCAAATGTGGTTTAGACACATTTCTAAAATTAATTGGAAGTAGAAACGTAGTAACTTTTTTCCCGCTCATGCATAATGTAAAAAGTTAGGAACGAGGTGCCTTTTTTCCGCTCTAGCATCATGGAAGGAAAAGGAAAATTGGTTGCCGCATATTAAGAGGTTCGCCAAGTGAATTATTCTTGGCGCAAACTGAAAAAATTGTGCCAAGATAAATTTTTGAATTTCTCCGTAAATTTCTCACTAAAATTTACAAAATTTAATATCTAGGCATTATTTGAGGCTTAGGATCGAAATATGGAGGGAAATTGGTATGTTATTTCAGAAAAGTTCGATTTTGTGTCAAAATACCTATTTTAGAAGAATGCTTTATATAAATCTAATATATATCCTAAGTCGCGCTTTCGAGACATGAAAAATGCAATTTGAATTTTGTCAATCGGTCCAGTAGAAAGGGAGATATAAAACTGTTCCATTTTCTTTTTTTTTTTTTTTCTTTTTCTGCGCAGTGTATTTATTTCTGTTCATTTAAAGATTTTGCGTGGCAGAAGACAATATTTTTACATTCTTAAATGTATATAAGTAATACTACCTGTTACATAAGATTAGTTATAAAAGGTTTTTTCTCTCTCATATGTTATATTCCCCTACTTTTGTGACGACTGTTTTGTATTTGCTGCTGATTAATAATATCATCACTGCCTGTAGTTCTGTTTAAAATGCTTGCTTGCTTGGTATTTCTTTCACTTGCTTGGTAATTGCATAAATATTGTTTTTGTTGTCGGTGTTGTTGTTGTGATTAATTTTACTTATTCGACGTCATCAGGACAAGTCTACGAAATTCACCGTGTCAAGGAATACAAGTTTATGCCTGCCGTTGGCAACAAACTTGGGGACCGCGCCCAGTTCCACCGCAATACTGAGGAACAGCACCCCGGGGAATGGGCCCAGGGTCTCCTATCTTTTTTCCCCTATAGTCAGAGTCACCAACTACTCTCTCGTTTGGGCGGTTAAAATGTCTAATGTCTCAAAACTCAAAGAATATCTCAGAATGTCTCAAAACTAAAGTCTCAAAACTCACAGAATATCTCAGAATGTCTCAAAACTCAGATAATCATTCAGATACTCACAAAGAAGGGTTAGGCGAATGTTCGTATACCATTATTGTATGAGAAACCGAAAGGAAATGTTTATCTACAAATTATAAATGCTATATTTATTGATCTTACTGTATCTGATTTTGAAAGGCCATTTTAGAGCTTTTAGATACAGCTATTTTCTATTTCTTCCGATAATGTGAAATTCAGATATTTTTTACATTCATTAAGATTATGTGATATTATACTTTAACAGGATATTTTCGTAGTTATAATATGTACTTCTTATAATCCTAAAATAATGCATATATACCTTTATAGGAATGCGTACGCATTCAACAATTTATTGCAATTATTTAAAAACAACGTTTTTTTTTCCCTAATGAAAGCTTCTCAAAATGAGATGAAAAATTTTTATGACAATAGTTTCAGCACTGACATCACAGATAAAACGATTTTAAGAATGCAAAATTTAGCTTTTCATGTTCTTTATAAGGTTAGCTTTCAATTAGCAAAATACTCACTAAATTTTAAAAAATACAGGAAACTTTATGTGAGCAAATTTTGATATTTTTTTACATTTATGCATAAAATTCCCGAAGCTATTATGAAAGAGATATAAATGCATATTTTCATCCGAAATTAAATATTAAGCTTAAATTTTCAATAAAACTGAAGAAGCAGCTGCAAAATAAAAGAAGTTAGTTTTAGCTATTAAAGAAACCTCGGAGTTTAAAACAACCGCTGAAGAGTTAAAAGTTTTTAGCTGGTCTCGTGCCCTGAGAAGTTATCAGTGCCTTTTATCTGAGTTTCACAGTTTCACAAACTAATTAAACATATTCGTTGGAATTACACATATTGGTTTTAATTTTGATGGTTTGTCACTGAGTTTCATATGTCTGGGATTACATTTACTGAAATAAAATCGGTGGTCAGCTTTTTCAAACTTCCACGTGCGTGTGTAAACTAGTCAAAATGATGCATTGTGGTAATTATTTTTTGAAATCTCTCTTAAAGAATAGAATGTAAACATTTATTTAAGATTTTATAAAAACATAATCTTTTATAATGTAACACGCTATAACAGAGGTATGTTTGTGAATGTTTCTTTAAAAGAGTGCTCAGTATTTATGCTGACAAAAGCATAAAATACTACTGATGTATGTTTTTTCATTCATCGATAAGACCAAACTTAAGGAGATAAGAACTTCATTTCTTATAACTGACAGCTCAAAGAAAATACGGTGAAATTAATAGTTAAAAAAAAAAAAAAAAAAAAAAAAAAAGAAAAGAAACGGAAAAGCTTAAGCGCACTGCACGTGCAGTTCGATAATACTTTCTACTGGTTAATGAATTTTTTGCGATTTACTTATTCATAAATGTTAAATTAAGTTATGAAAATCAGAGAGACCTTCCAAGTGTTTTTCTTTACAGAAGAAAACTTTGAAAGTGACATTAAATTGAAAAGTGTAAAGATGATATAGCATAAACGTTGAATTATACATAATATTCAAAAGTAGTTAAAAGCTTTGTTTTCTTAATTACTGAGTCCAGATGTGTACTTTGAAAGTTTTCTAAATAGTGTAAAGAATTTTATTAAAACGGTTTCAGAATTTAAGATAAGACGATGAAAAATTAATTATTTTATGGCTTTCTTTACTTGTTATGCTTTAGAAATGCACAATATTTCAACTGCAAAAAACAAAATCTTACATGTGATGCAAAAATACTTCAGAAATTATTTTTTAGTTTTTAATTGTTGCAAGTTTGCCTGTGATTCTTTAATGTATATTTAAGAATTACGTCTGTCAGCACTAATTGAGAAGAAAGTTAATTGAGAAAAAAACTTAATTCAGAAAATGATATTAAGTAGTTGAAATATATTCGTGGTTTTTCATTATTGCTTGGCATACTCTTCTGAACATGATTTGCGCGGATAAGTAACTTTGAAAATTGTACTAGCCTTTTACTAAAGGTTTTGAAGCTGAACTGTTAGTTTCATACTAACAATGATTTATGTCTGTTATTTATAACTGAATAGTGATATATCATATGATTTCCGAGATAATAAGACAAGATTTATAACTGCTAGTTTGCATGGTGAATTTCTATTTGCAATTTTATAGTCACCTCTGAATACAATTTCATATGTAAGAACTGCTGTACATGCTCTTAAAAACATTTTCATTGAATTTTCCCTGCTATTATTAAAAATTTCCAAAGCTGTTCATCTATATAAAAAGGGATGCAAATTTGCTGGATATAGCTGCTGTTACGTGTAGCAAAATCTAGAACAGGACAATGCAAAGATAACTAGTTGAGCAATTATTATCTTTCTTATCAAATGTTACATGTTAAAAAATGTTGCTTAGATCGTTAAACGATCATGTTCAACATAACGATTTTTATTAAAAAATGTTACACAAAATATAAAATATAGTTTGCTAAAATATATTTTTAAGTTGAGCTGTATATGAGAATTTCAGATTTTTACTAAAAACAAGACTCAAAAGCATTTTGTCACAAAAACATTTATTGTACAACGTATTCATTAAAGAATATCACAATTTTATTAACAACAAAATACTGATACAGTTGCGACGTTCTTGTCGCTGACAATATGAGCAATCAATACAATACTTAAAATGACGTGAAACTGCGGCAAACACCGAACGCTCAGCGTTACTTTGTTGCCACAAATATTCTAACAATATAAAAACAGTTATATGAAACAATAAAATGAGTATAACATACAATTTAATGAAAGAAACTGTGCTTCAATGCCTTGAGTAGAATATTTCTGGTAGATATATTTGAGGTCGTCTGTTAAATGATTTTTGAGTACATGTGCGTATTCCATTGAAAAAATTATATGTAGGAATTGAATTCTTCCAATTAAAATTTAATTTGCTTTCAACATTCTTTATTACAATATGTATCAATTCTTCGGAAGTAATTACATTTTACATTTCTAACAGAAATCAGATTACATTTTGAATAAATTATTTAAGCCATTTTCTTATTAAAGCATGATTTTATATGATTTTTGAGTAGAGTAAATGTGCGTATTCCATTGAAAAAAGGATATGTAGGAATTGAATTCTTCCAATTAAAATTTAATTTGCTTTCAACATTCTCTGATACAACATGTATCAATTCTTAATTCGGAAGTAATTGTATTCTACATTTTTAGCAAAAATCAGATTATATTTTAAATAAATTGTTTAAGCCATTTTCTTATTAAAGCATGATTTTAGAATTTATCATTTCAAAGATTAGTAAAATGGTATAAGGTATGATGCGCTATCATTCAATTGTTAGGGTTCTGTACTAGACTGCATTTCTTAATTTTAACTTTATATAATTTTAAGTAATGTAATACAATTAAAATTTCTTCAGATATTAGTATTATTTAGCAGCATATGTTAACTCGAATAAATAAATAATTACACAACAGCCATACATATTTTAGAAAGTATTTAAGATATGTAGTACATGTATATAAATGTATTATATAAAACGCAAGTGTATAATTAGATTCCTATTTTCTTTGCAGAATTAGCTCAATAGTATTTTCATAATGCGCAAATGAAAGGAAATGACATATTAGTAAATGTAAGCGTAATCGTTCCCTGTATTCAGTTTTGAAAGTAGTAGTGAATAAATTGAAACATTCTAAAGATTGATGAGATAATTTTAAAACAATTCTGTTGAAATGATAAATTTTAGTTATAGTGTAGAAACTTCCAGGTTTTCGTAACAGACGAATTGTTTTGTAGACAATAAAAGCCGTTTTGATTTTACATTCATGTCTCGTAATAAATTAAAATTGACTATTATTCCATAGTTAGTTTTGAATTTTGTCAGAAAATTCTCCTAATAGAGAAATCCAGATTATCTCTTCATATATATTAACATACAAACTATAGAATATCCCTTTTTGAGAAGTACTGTTGCAGCCGTTTTCTTAAAATGCGGATTCGGAAATGAATTAAGAATCAAAACACCTTTTATAAGACATTCAATAACATTATATACTAAAACAAATATTTTCTACGCAAGGTTGCTTAAAGTCTGTTCATAAATGTCTTTAAAAACAAAGATGCATGCAGTCTTGCTTAGAATCTATTCAAAAGTATCTGTAAAAAACCAAATACCTCCTGTACAATCCGGCGGGAAACTTCCTCGAAGAATTTAATTAGAAATTGCATCAGTATTACTTATTGATGCAATTTTCTGTAAATTCAGAGTCACAATATTGTAAAATTTAAATGGCTGAAATCATAACTTGTTTAAAAATCCATATTTTCAGAGTTGACCTTTCTCCAAAGCAGAGGTCCATATCTTAATACTCGATGACGTAACATTTTTCTCCTTATCTAAGTATTTCACGGGTTTTTCAGTCATAGTCTGGCTTGTACTTGTGAATGTCCTGGCCTTACAGCGCTTTCTCACCACGTCCGCTAGGGATAACCACGGTGCTTCGAAACATATATAAAGTATATAGGTAACAACGTAGGTAGCAGCTGCATGGCTTAAAACCACGTGAAACTATAATAAAAATGTGAAATTGTATGAGAAATATATATGTATATGATTTGCAAGGATCAGTCAAAACATTAATTGCATTCGAAACAAAGAAACAACACATGAAAAATATCAGAATTCTTTTAGTTATATGAAAGTGTATCACCACGAAACTGATTTTCCGCAGAATTACCAATTTGTTGAAACATTCCTTGTTGTACGGTAAGAGTTACTTTACACATCGTGCTAAGGATTCCTATCCAACATTCGATTACCAATGTTACTTACCAATTTTGATTTCCTCATCGAAATGATAGCACGTTTTTACATATCTTTCTTTAAGCCATAACAAATAGAAATAGCATGACGCGAAAATACGAATGTAAACAAAGTGTTGCCTTATTACTTCCCACTGGAAATTCTGAGAATATCCTTTTTGACACGCGCGGAATGTGATTTTGCTACGTCATGAAGAAACACAATGTTAGTCTTTTTCTAGTTCCCTTGGTCATCGAATTTCAGTCAAGTTCAAAGTCTGTCAAGTGTTTTCCAGCAGAATATCGCTCTAACTGTGGAACCCTTGGGCATGAATTTTCTATAAGTAACATCTTTCTTGTTGAAGAAAATTGTTACCGTCACCTTGCCCGTCTTTCACAACATGATCCTCAAACTACGAATACTACTTTTTTTAAGCTTTGGACCTCTTGTTGATCTGGGAAGAACTGAGACATCTACATCGCGAAACCTCAGATATTCTGCGATCGATACTACGTAATATGTTTCCAGAACTAAATTAATAGTTGTAATGTTAATCAGTTTAAATATATTAAAGTATCTAATATGTAATTACATTTGTATATTAGTGTTCATTTACAAAAAGCGACATTTTTGTATTACCAACTGAATAACATTGCTCTCCTGTATGATAAATAAAGAATTTTGAATAGAGTCCAAAAGCTTTAGAGTTTCCATGAATATCAAACCGACTTTATAATCATACTTTGGTATTGTTAGAATTGAAAGCTCATCAAAAGAAAAAAAATTCCAAGAACAATAGTAAGATAATTAGTTTGAGCTAAACTTACTTGCAATTCTGCATTAAAAATTTTCAGTATCAGTAATACAATATTATGTTTAATATCTGCTGATATATAACATTAAAAAAGTTTTTAGCAAAATATGATATAGAAATATGGATGTTCTGATATACTTACAATTTCCAATTCTGATATGAAGATGTGAGCTTTTCTGAAACCCATGAGCATATTTATAATTGGAACATGCATAATGTAGCCAATGAAGGCAAGCCGGGAAAGAAAATGGAATGGTCTCCAACTGAGTACATCCCGAACACCATCTGCGCAATAAGAAAATAATTGTATTGCTTGCTGTTCTGTTTGTTGCTTATTTATAATTTTCATTGAATAACTAGAAGAAAATGCATTACATTTTCATAAAATATGTGCCGTTTACAGAAAGAAAATAAAAGAAAATTTTCTGATACGTATTTTATAATATGTATTAAATGTGCATTCTAACATGAGTCAAAGACAAACTAAAATTATTGCTACATAGTCAGTTATAAGTCTGACGAGTCATACATAGTCAGTCTGACGACTGTGACTTATAACTGGGTCTAAGCATATAGTCTCTAAGTCATAATCCAAGTCATTATCTGACTTAGGTTATGGCCTTGTAGTTATGTTGCACTGTTATACCCTAAGTTATGCGATACACAAGCTATTGCAAATGTATTTTATAACTGAATAGTACTTTCTAAACGACTAATTATAGAACGAGTGTTTTAATTCAAGAAATCAATTAAATGAAGGAGACTTTAATTACGAGATTTCGTTCACATGACTCATTTTAATAAAAATATACAAAATTGTATATAAGTATCCCTTTACGAAAGTTCACTTTCTACTACTTCATTTTTACAAAACAGCTCTATTAGTGCTTTTTATTAATTAAGAAGAAACTTACTAGATTCATTAGGATGAATTCAGTAAAACTAAATTTTGTAAACAGCCAATGTAAAAAATAAATTTTGTACATTTTTTTAATCACCAAACTTGTTGCAAACTGAGAAATCTACCTTATTCGAATCTTTTATTATACTTAACCATGGGTTTATGTTCAGTCTTTGGCGAACCGCTGGCCATATGTGGCTCCCGAAACAATTTTATGCGGTTCGCGAATATGTTTTACTTATGAATTTGTTCTCATAAGTACGGTGCCAAACGTTTGCAGATGTATAAGGTTATGCAAAAATAATAAAACAGTAAACATTATCCATGGACAAGCTCTTAATTAAAGAGTTTTCTAGTACTCTTAACAACATTAACAATGCTTAACAATGGTGGCACTTCCTTTTTATAAAAAGAAGGAAAATAGCTTAGGCAATGTTGCCCATTGCTCCTCCGCCATTTGAACATTTAAAACAAAGATTTTAAATGGTTATTCCTGCACAAGGTAAATAGTAAATAAGTAGATAAGATCCCAAACTGCCACCAAATACTTATATAGTATTAGTAAAAGATCCCATCTCTAAATTTAGGGGGGTCGGTTAAATCGTTAAAACATCCCAATTGGATGAAGAGCCGGTTCACTCCCTTCCAAACCACCAAACGCAAAGTCTTGTCCAAAGAAGGGTGCGATGGTGAGTCTGAAAAATTAATTAATTAAGGAGAACAGAGGTACTTTCTCAAGCCAACTGGTGTATATAGATTTGATATCTATATTTATATTCCAAAACACAGCTGTGAGAGGGAATTCCCTGCATAGTTTCTTTTACCCCCCCCCCCGAAAAAAAGAGGGATTCACAGGGCCTCTCATTGCTTGCTTCTTGTGGTTTCAAATTCACCTTACCTGTAGGTGTTTAGCATACATTAGAAACCCTATTATACCAGTCAGCCTTTATTTAGAAGGGCCTGATCGAAGCTGATGTAGGGAAACTCAAGGAATTTGTTTCTAGAGGCAGAAAACATCGGACATCGCCCCAGGAAGTGAATAGGTGTTTCCCGGGCAGAGAAAATATTCGACAAGACCACGTTTGTGGAGATGCTTGACCAGATAAGCATGTCCGGTAACAATATGAATTACCTGGCTTAAGTTAGTTCTATTGAGGTGTTTCTGGTACTCACTCAATTTGCTGGTACCCTGGATTGAATTTCCGGAACCGACCATTTTATGGAAGGAGACCCGAGGTTCGATCTAGACCTTCTGAGAGTGACGCGCACGACATAGCCTCTCTTGTCCCTATCCGACACAAGCTCCCTCGTGGCTCCCCACCGGTAACCAGGTTCGTTTGAGCTGATTATGTCGGATACCATAGCTGGGGTCGACTAGATTGGAATTTCCGGAACCGACCATTTTATGGGAGGAGACCCGGGGATCTGTCCAGTAAACTGGCTAGATAGCCTCGGCTTCTGGGGTAAAAAAACAGCCTTCATAGGACTTGAGCCATCATTTATTCGGTGGTAGGTTCAGACTGGACAGAGACCGCACTGGTAGGGTCTTGGTTGAGGGGATTTTACATGATTGATTTCGAAGGTTGTCCGATCTTTTGCACCGACTTTTCTTGCTCGAACGGAAGACGGAAGTCTTTCTCTCTGTAGTATGTTCCACAGAAGAACGATGACTCTTGGCCGTGGAACATGTTATGGAGAGAGGCATATTTTTATTTCTAATAGAACCGTGAACAGCCAGAATTGTCGGGTTTGGGCCGTTGAAAGGCCACGTGCCTTCCGCACAATTTCACTGCGCTCGCCTACAGTTTCCTTCTGATTTGAGTTCACTTCCTGTTTATCGTTGGATCATTCTTCTTCGACGAAAATTACAATAAGGTCACTGAAACATGCCCTGTAATGACCGTTAGATATCCTGACATGTTCAACAGTTTTTCCTTACCTCACCTTCAGCAGCGACAGTGCTTTGCGTCTACCACTTTTATGCAGGATGGTGCCCTTCAACATAATGGACTCTACTTGCAGAAATTTTTACGGAAACATTTTACCGATAACCGGGTGATTAGCCGTTCGTTTCCTACTCCTCTGCCGGCTCGTTCTCCTGATCTTAATCCGTGTGATTTTTGGTAATGAGACCATTTAAGATCGTGATTTATCGGTAAAAAATCTTGCAACTTTAACAGACCTGAAGAACCGTATAACCTTACATGGACGAAAAATGACTGACGATTATCTGGGGTCAGCTGTTGAACACTATATTCATTGCCTGCATATTTTAGACTTTAATGCGGAGCCCCACGTTGAACAATATGCTTTACATAGCTGAACAGTAGGTAGCAAATAAACGATGTTTGTACTGAAATTGCAGCTTGTTTATATTTCGATGTAATGTGCCTCCTTGAGGAAATTTTTTAACTATTTGTTCTCCCCGGAATCTCTCAGTCCATTCTTTGAATTGCTTATATACAAATTTTCGAATCAATTCTCATTTTAGTTAAAACTACTAAGTACTATGACTAAGCCAAGTTTATTACGATCAACCTGTATATATATATATATATATATATGTAAATAATGCCTTAATATGTAATGTAATTTCGTATATAATTCGAAACTTTTTATACGAAATATATCCCTTAATGCGAAATCTAGAACATTTTAAAATTACAATTATATATTACCTGAATGACCAGTCATACAGGCGACGGCAACCCAAGCTAGGAATGAAGCCTGAGCTATTTTACTGAATGTGGTGTAGATGGCACCTAACAGGGGGCTAGGAACAGCGCCATTTCGCCATTCATGAACGCAAGTCAAAGCCGTTATCAATGCTATAGTTGTCATTAACCACAGAAAAGTTGACATTTTCTGAAAAATAAAAATATCTATTGCAATGTTTCATTATAATCATTATTATATAAGATGATAAAATATTCGAAATATTGAATTGGAAAAAATAACAGCAGACACAAAAATTTGATACATACCATATAAAAGTTTAATGCATATCATTTAAATAAGTAGGTTATTGAAGAAGCCAGGGGAAATTGCATGTGAGAGAAATATAACAGAATCATGTTATGAAGTTTTTACGTACAGAGAGTTAGGAACTTTAAAGACGGAAGGCAAATTAATAGGGAAATTTGGTAAAAGCAGTAGTATAGTGGCCAGTAAGACGTTTGTAGAGTAAATATTAAGATATTATCAGTTGATTGATTTTATTGGCTAATTAATTGATGTTATCAGAAGTAGCATTTGCACAACTCTTCATTCCGCGCGTGTGTGAAATTTGACATAGTATGTATATAGCTTAAAGTATAGGCTTTAAACTAAGCAATTTTTAAAATAATATTACGGACAAAACTCGTGATTTAGATGCCTTAAATCGAGAGCAAATTATAGATGACTGATGCATGGATCATTTGATTTCAGAAATAGTTCTTGTTGCACAGTATCAAGAATACAGCAATAGTATATCGATAGCAAGAAAAGGAAGAGTAAGCGGACAAATTTTCCAGGAACAAGTAAACTTGATTGATTTAAAGCTTCGCAGACTATGCATAGACAGTGACAGCAAACCTTAGTTCAAGTGACCACCCATCTGAATGAGATGTCTAATAGGACAATCACTAGATGAACTGTTGAACACTGTTTTCAACAGATCTTCAGAAACTAAAGACACAAAAGAGTAATACATTTCACTGTATTTCATTGTCGAGTCTCAAATCAGAGTGCATCACGCTTATGGTAGGCTAAGAATATGATACCATCTGTAAGAAGCCAAGGATTCAGTGTATGATTAGAAATGTACAAAGTCATGACAGCTAAGGGACGGTCCGAAGTATTTTCTTTCTCTTGGAATTGTTTAGGATCTTTTATACATGGACCAATTATCTTCCTTGCATATAAAGTATGTAGATCTGCTGGGAGATAACTTACATTCATTTGTGCTTCTCTGCCATCTGCATGGAAATGGAGCGTACCAAATGGACTACTGCTACACTCACAGATATCGGTTGGCTAGCATCTTGTCCGAAGAGCACTCATTCCCCTAAACTCTTCCTGCTTTTGGGATAACTGCCTCAACATCCTGCTCAAGTTTTTAAATAATTCCTCTGGCTGCTCACCGAGATATCTTCGCAGCCGTGGGGGGGGGGGACTGTAACAAATGAATATCGTCGGCAACGCGCTCTACCGGCCCGGCGATATAGAGAAAATATTCAGATCAAAAATGAAAGACTGGAGAATTGGAATTATTTTGAGTTAATTTCTGCTTTCAACAGGAATTATGATTTACGGAGAATTAAAAGAATCAATTAGTCTGAAATAATTAAGACTGTGATACTTCTTCCGCAATTTGAAGCAAACTCAAACATTGATGGAACACAACAATAACTTTATTTAACACTCGAAAAATGGCGGCATGCAAATAAGAAGATTAAACATATTCTAACATTTAAAAATAAAATAAATATATTCTTCGTAAGAGAGCTACTCGAGCCTGCGTTTCAAACATTGCCATTAACATATACCTTAATGTTTATCTATTTAAATTACCTATTTTAAATTAAAGATTTTAATAACAATATTTAAAGCTGTTACAACCTGCGAAGATTAATGGCCAACATGCGGTTCATGTACAACTCTTCCTGCTATCGGGATACTCAATATCAGAAAATTTGGTATACAATAATAATAGTGTTACGAATTTGGTATTTAAAAAGCAAATGTTAGTTCAATTATAAATTAAATGGTTTTATTTCTCGCGCAGTGCAGTCCACGAGACTACCGGCTATTCTCCATCACAGATGCTCTTCGGTCTTGACCTTCGTCTGCCTTGTGATCTATTGTTTGGCCGCCCTCCGGATGCTCCTTCATCGTCTGAGGAATATATTCAAGATCTCCAGGCCCGGTTTGAAGTGATGCACAATTTTGCACGAGAGCAAGTCAACTTGGCGACGGAGAAGATGAAGACCCGATACGACACAAGAGCTACTGAACATAGATCCAACAAAGGAGACAAGGTGTGGTTGTGGAACCCGATTCAACGAAAAGGACTGAGTCCTAAACTACAGTCACCTTCGGATGGTCCATAATACAGCGCTGAACACGAATGACGTCGTGGTTCGGATCCGTGAGTCTTCGAACTCTTACGACAGGTTAGCTCGTTACTATGGCCATAGTACATAATGTAAATAATTGTAAATAGTATTAGACCATGGTCCTTTTTGTTTATAAATGTGTATTTGATTTGATTTGTATTTAGTATTTGATTTGCATTTAGTATTTGATTTGTATTTAGTATTTGATTTGCATTTAGTATTTGTTTTATATTTAGTATTTGATAGCATTTGATTTGTTCAAGTTAGTTATTGCATTTATTGTTCATGTTGTTTGATATTGTAATGTAATGTTTATGCCTCAGTTGCATTTATGCCACAGTTGTAAGTTTAGCTTCCTATCCAGGGATTGCACTGCGCGAGAAATAAAACCATTTAATTTATAAATGAACTAACATTTGCTTTTTAAATACCAAATTCGTAACACTGCCCCCTTCCCAAGGACTGCACGTCCCGGGCAGTAAAATCAGATTAAAGATTCTTCTACGTGGAAGACAACTAACTTCAATACAACGGCCTTTTTCTGCTATTCAATAACAAAAGCTTACAGAAAAACACCTACCAGTTCTCTACAAATCATTTCAGGTATTCCACAAATTACTCTGACTTTACAGAGAGAAGCCGTTAAAACAAAAGTTGCACGCCTACGACAAACAAGCACCTATAATTCTAATATCTATCATCCAACAGAATATGAAGAATTCAAGCAAAATATAAACTTACATCCAAATCAATTATAATCAGAAAATCCAATAGTAAATTAAAACATAGATAATTTTCAAATTCAAATTTTTACAGATGGATCAAAAACAGAGTTAGGCGTAAGAAGCATTTTATATAGTAAAGTCTCTATACGTAGGAAGTATAGAGGGTACTACGTTTTCAGAAAGAATAATCTTATACAAACCTAGAAAACAAAATTGAATCTTATAAATTCAGTATTTCAATCAGAACTTATTAACTTCAAACGGATAAATGAATTTTTACAGACTTATGAACTGTGAACATTTATGAATAGTGAACTATTTATGGATTATAAACTATTTATGAACTGTAAACTAGTATTACATTTCAACAAATCATCAAAATCCTACATTATTTAATATGTATATAACAAAAATTTTATATCTAAATCTTTATTTGTATTCTACAATATGTATTCTATATTATATGTACGTACCATCAAAATTTCTGTTAATATTTATATGAATTCTGTCAATGTATGTCAAGTATATGTCAAAATTACATGTATACATCAATATCAAATTTTTATTGTAATATAAAATTTTAAATAAACGTGGTCCCACTGAGTGAGCAATAAAGCTGAAAGTCTTCATGGCGGTACAGCTGCTCACCCAGTGGTCTCCTGTCTCCCGCTATCGGGATACTCTGAGGAAAGATAAGGAAGCACATCATTCATTACTAGTGTCCTTAATTGATTTACGGGGAATCTTAGAACGAGTTTGGCAGGTCATACTTCTAGAACACTTTTGTAGACTTGTCGCATCTATGGTTTATAGCAACAATGAGCAGGCTTCTCTGGCACATATCCTTAGGTGTCTGGGTTTGTCCTACAACGACTTACAATCCATTAAGACGATATTTACATCATTAAAGAAAGTAAGAAAGCAAAATGTCTTAAATTATAAGCTAATATATGCCAAGTAGTAAAACTTCTGATAACCGGATAAAGCCGGTTATAACGCTCAGAGGGTGCTAGTTTAAGACTTTTTGAAGGTGAATAAACTCGTAGACCTTGTTTAGCAAAAGCTAGACTCGAGGATTGGTAACAATAACAACAACAGCAACATGGTTTGTAGCAGCCTTTATCGAAGCTAATGATGTAGCAGTTATTACTCGGTTCATTAGTAACCGAGTGCCTGTAATTTAGAGACATATCTGTATATCCAGCCCATTACAGCCCATGCTATAACATCATCTGAAAAACTCTTCTTTTCTGCAAAATCTTCGGAAGCTTCTTTTATAGCTATGTGAGAAGAGACAAAGTTCTGTAGTGTAATTTGATCAGTAGGTTGTCAGACAGCAAAATGCCTCTGAACAGAATGAAATTTACAACATTTTTCATCTTATAAGTATAAACAGTTTTAAAGTGAAATGTTGCACACATATCTTCGGAACTAACAGAAGTTCAGAACATACGTATTCATAGTATCATGGAATTCGACTTATTAGGCAGGAAACTTAATATTCGTAAAAATACTTTTGTATATCTTTTGACTTCTATTTTTCAACTTTGAAAATTTCTCTTCTTAAATGAGAAACATTTTTATGCGAAAACTTTTTATTCAGATGCTGCTATATGTGATTCCTACAGCAACGCAGATTAACATGCTTGAGTTAATAAATTTGAAAACAGACCCATTCACAGCCGTAAGCACTGGAATAAATTGAATTCGAATAAAATTCAGAATTTAGAATACTATGCACAAAGACTGCGTATCGGTAAATGGATAAAATGAGTAAGGTCAAAATTATTGCCATTACATTATGTCGTTGTTACATTAACATCTTGTTACATTAACATTTTCAGCTATTAAATTAAAGAGTATAACAAAGATTATTTTAAGCTGAACTAGAATAAAACTAATTAATACTAGTAGAGAAGTTTATTTTTAAAAACAATTACGCTACTATCACATCAGTATGCACTCATGCATGAAAATTTCTGCAATAATACATTTATAGAGTATATTTAATTTATGCAAGAAAAATGACAGGTTTTTATGCTTACTTTTGATATCTTGATGTTAGGGTATTTTGCCATGAAGTACCCTACAAACACTCCAGTGCAGTATATACTTAAATGAGTGTATACCCTATAGTATGTGTGTTCAGCATAGAACATACGATCCCTGAGAGAGAAAAAAAATATAAAAGTTTTTTAGGACGTTATTTACTTTTCATAATACAAGTACTAAGTATAAATCTAGAGTAAAAGTAGTTACCTTGAGGTATGGATTAGTATTTTTTAATGATAAAGAAGCTTATTTAATGAATAATTAACTACAAATACTAAAAGATAAAAGCGTTATATTAACTTACACTAGTAAGAATCGAATACAAACAAAGCTATTAGGGAAAAAATAATATCAGAATACGTTTAACTCTCCAATTTTAGAAAATAGTACAACTAAATCTGTTATTAGTGTTATTTAACAGAGTACTATTTAAATAATAGAAACAGATATATGAAACAGATATAACGTTTGATAAACATATTATCAGAGTACAATTTTTAGTTTTTTCTTATATTTTGGGTTACAAATGTGTTAAATTTCAGGATTACTAGACATGTTGCCACAAAACCATTTATCAATATTTTACTTTTATTTTTGTCACCCATATTTATCAAGGTACTATAAGGAATTCAATGGATTATAATCTAATTGATAAAGTAAAATGTCTATTAAATATAACTGTTTGAATACACGCACTAACTATTTTTCGAAAAATTTCTCTCCTTTCATATATAAAATTGTCTCAAAGAGGCTTAGATAATAATATAAATCTAAACTTTAATCCATTTAATTCCCAATATTTCATAGAATATTTGTGAAAAGTTTCATAAAATTACTATAGTAATATTTAATATTATATATTTTTTTTTTTCGTAACAGAAAAGTTGAAAATTTTTTTTTCAAAAAATAAAAATAATTTAATGCAAACGCAAGGAGAAGGAAAAGAAAATGTTGCCAAATATTAAAATAAAATTGCAAAACTAATCTTGTTCCTGAACACATAAAAACAAATGTAAAGATTGCAAATCATCTTCTGAACGTTATCAAACGTGTTCATATTAAGAATTTTTACCGGAGAGACAAAGTACTTCTGAGGAGCTTAGTGGGTATAAGCTTTAAAATAAAGGAATGAAATGTTTTTCAAAACGTTCATCAAATTTGACTATTAGAACGTAATCGGGTATCTTTTTAATTAAGTAAGAACATAGAAAAAGCAACTAGATGTTTAGAAGACAATTATGCAAGAGATTTCTACTCTTCTGACGCAGGAGTTACGATTTTAAGAAAGCAATAATTTAACCAAATTTTCAAACGAAACCTTTCAAGTACAAACGTGCGTAATAAGTGCCTTCCTTGACTTCTCTGTATTTTCATTGGAGAGTTATTCGGTATTAGATAAGTTACGGTTTCACTATTTAAACGGTTTAATTAATCATTTAGGAAAATGATTAATCATCATTTCCATTAAAATTATAGTTTATTATATTTTAAATTAGACAGAAGTGAAGCTTCTTTTGATGCAGCAGCAATTTAATCTGATCATTAATAAATATGGGTTTTCAACCTATTTAACAACTTAAATATCATTATTACATTCATGAGACAAATAAAAATAATTTTCAGTTATTTAAATACATACGCAATGAATATACTCCGAAAAATTAACCCGTGACTTTATACAAATCCATCACTTGAAAACTGTACATTAGATTTAATAGCAAAATAAATAAATCCGAAATTTTATCCTCATACGTGTCAAATACGTCAAATGGAATTCTTGATTTTTAACAACTGAAGAATATTTACCTTTCAGAAATAACAATTACATAAAATAACACAAAAGCTAAGAAGCTGATAATAAATATTATAAAAATGACATGATTATGAATAGCTAAGTAACTACATATTTTTTCACGTTTTTTAGTATAGAAGAATTTCTATTTTCTAAAGCAGTTTTTGGTATGTTAAAGATAATATCAGGAAATAATGACTGTAAAAGACTTATTCAAAGATTTGATAGAAATTAGATATAATTTATTTATGGAAAAAGGAAAAGAAACATAGGAAATGAACATCTCTATAGCTTATAGCTTTATAGAGTCTCACTCCGTTTGGTAATAGTCAAGACTCTGAGTAGAACTAAGCGACTTATCTAGATAAGTAAACAGAACTACGAAGGATATAAAAGACCCTTTTATTAAGAACTCAAATAGTTGAACAGAAGACACTCCCAGCGCTTACAGACTCAGCTATCATTTATGGCTAGAAATCAAAAGTAAGGAATGCAAATTTAAACTAAATCTAAGTCTTAAATTAGCCATAAGCTATGGAGAAATATTCAAAGCGCAAGTCGGCTCTAACATACTCTGGCATCACCGTATTCTTTGCAAGATTAAAACAACGCCGGAGACAGGAATGCTATCGTAGAATATCAACTAGTAACGTGCCCTATTAACAGGCGGAACATGCTCTGCCGAAAGCAATCTCAAACCCTAACTGAAATACGTGCGAACTTAAAATTTACATTCTGGCATGAAAATGGAAAGGGTCTAGTGACAGTAAAGTCACTAGTTGTTTACAAACTTCCAAAAGAAAACTCGCCAGGGGTATCTCTTTATTGGAACAGTGCCTTGCTAGAAGCGTTTTAAGAGAAACTGGTATGCATTCATATTTGACATGAGGAAAACATGAAATTCCGATGAAGCTAACCTGCTTGTCAGGATTCTACACCGTATTGAATTACCAGCACTCAGTGTCTTAGCTGTTGACCACTGATGATTCCTGAATCACAATAAAAGTCATACATCATATGTTTTCTTTGAATGTTCCCAAACATTTTCTAGAGACATTCCTTTACAGTTGTGATGCAGTGCAAAATAAAAAATGTATCCTTAAATAGTAACTTCACTGGTCTCATAGTCGAGATAGCCCACCAGCGGCCGAGCGGTAAAGTCGCTGAACACTGGTAGTTCGGTCCGAGATTCGAATCCCGCGAACGGGCTGGCTGCATGGGAGGTTTCGTGGTTTTCCTAATGTGTAACGTATACACGAGCCAGTTTCCCTTAGAGAGTCCTCCACGAAGGCATCCCTTCCCTTAGGCAGATAGCCCTAGTGTGCTTTGCCATAATTAAATAAACCAACCAAAACCAAACCATGGTCGAGATATTCAACACGTGATTTAAGAGATGTTATTGTACCTAAGTTTATGTCTTTGAGTGATTCAGCTTAACAAAGGTGATTCAGCTTCAGTGAATCAGCTTAAACGGGATGTGAGAGATAACTATTCAGCAGCTTCATTGAAAATACTTAGAGAGGAAGAAACTGAGAGCACTTTAAAAATCCTAAAACAATTATTGTACATTTAATAATATGAGATCGGGCGAAAAATGCATCTGTTATCATTTATTTGATTTAATAATGCTACATGTTTACAAAGTCTTCTAAAACTAAAATGCTGCAAAAACTGATTACAACTAGCTTCTTGCATAAGAAAATTTGCCTGGAACGTATTCAAACTGGTTTTCCTCGGAAAATTTAATTCGGCGCCTTATGTGATCTGCACACATGGTGCCCGATGTAAATTACACATATTAGTAATTTAAAGCAAAGTACACTTTTATTTATTTGTAGCTTATAAGAACAACTTTAGGTGGTGCTCTTCTAAAAATAGATGCCCTCTGTAGCTGACTTTGTAGCTTATGCTTGGAGCCGGCCCTGAACAGATGCAATGAAATATATCCTTAGTTAATATTGTCTGATAAAAATAAGGGTAACTCAAGATACTTACCTAGGATGCAAGAAAGCTGACATTTCATTTGGTGGTAGATCATAATAGACATTGGTCAGTGCAACTGATGTCAAACTAGCCAAGGCGAGAACAAACGTTATCAGCAATCCGATCTTTGGACGCCTAATAAATTAAAAATAAAAATTAAAACTATGCAGAAATAATGAAAGAGATTAGTTCAAATTAAGCACTTTATTAATTAATTAACTCTTCAACATGATAAAGATTAAACAAAACAAAATAATTAATATTTACAGATATATTTTTGCTTTATCTCAATATAAGAATATCGAAATCTCTTCGATCGCATTAATGATACAAATGGAAAGCGAGCAAAATCGAAAATTATTACAAAGGCTTTAGTACATATTTTACTCATAATCAACGTTTTGTAATTTTTTATGTATTGGATTTTTATATTATACACACGTCTATTATTAAATATTCAAGGATATGTTTTGAATTTATTAAAGAGAATACGAAAAATGTAATAATATTTTTCATATGTTATAATAGTAAGGGAAAAAAAATCTATACCAAACAAGCAGAAACTGAATTATTTTTTTTACATTAAATAAGCTACATAAAAGCATTTTACAGTGTCATGAAATAGGAATCAAAATAAAAGTATAGGATATTCTAATATTATAAATAAAATGCATCTTAAAGTAACCTCAAACTGGATAGATTAATTAAAAAAAAAATCCCAAAGCTAACTAAATATATTTCTAAAAGGACTTACAGTTTTAGCGGGATCAAAATAAAAATGGCAATGACATGCAGTTGAGCATCCACCGCGATAACCCACGTATGATCTAGGCACTGAAAATTAAAATACACTAATTGAGTTAAAGACAAAATAAAGTGATAGGTACAGATAAATGTGCACAAGTTTCCTAACATATCTGATTCTATATCAATTACGTATAAATTTAGTAATCATTCATCTGTGTTGAGGGAATGTAACTTTGTTTATCACAATAATAAAGAAATACATTTTTCGTTTAGTATACACACCTTTGGAAATTACTAAATTTGTAATTCTTTCTAATACTGTGTAGTTTATTATTTCTACTAAGAATTAGTTAAGAACTAAATTACTTTTGAGTATTTTTATGCTATTCGTGTAAGAGTGCTTGGCATAGTGTTTTTTCTTTGTTTAAAGCAGTTTGAGCAAGCTGTTGCCTTAAAAAGTGAAGAAACTCTCTCTTTTTACAAAATAAGGTTGAATTTTGCATTTTGTGAAAGTTTAAATTACACATATTTATTATTAAATGATTGTATCTTTATAAAATTTTATATCTTTCTTCTTTGAGAAGCTTTACTAATACCTTAATTTGGCTTTTGCATTTAAACTAGAGAGATACTTTTTAAACTGCAACAGTTTTATAGTTTAAAAGGTATTTCTAAACAAAATTAATTTCGAAATCTATACAGAAGTTTGAAAGTTTAGAAAAACATTTCTTATTATGCACATTAACAATTTCGTCATCATTCATTGGTGACTTCCATATGTAGCTGTTCAAGCGAAATATTGGATTTTAAAATTGAAATTCAATTAAAGTGAGCTAAAATATTACCTGAATAGTAACAAGAAAATTATCAAGTACAATCAGATAAAGTGCCAAATCGAGTTTGGTTTCGTTTATTTAATTTCTGCAAAGCACTAGATGGCTATCTGCATAAGGGAAGTAATGCCTTCGTGGAGGACGTTTTAAGGGTAAAGGATTCGCGTATACGTTACATATGAGGGAAACCACAAAAATTCCCATGCAGCCAGCCCTTTCGTTGTGATTCGAATCCCGGGCAGCACTACCACTATTCAACGACTTTATCAGTGTCCAACGTCGGCCGCTGGTGGGCTTATCAAATTCGGTTTATGAGCTTGTAAAATTCGAAAATTAGGGGCAATAAAATGTAACCAGTTTATATACCCCATCGAAACAGAAATGCACCGTGTTTCGAAAAGAATATACGTATTACAAAGTGTACATTTTCTCCAAACTATTGATCACTGAGCCTCGGCTCGGCTATTGGCGAAACGAATACATAGGCTAGTTTATATTAATAGCCGCTGGATCTCAGTTGTCTTCTGTTTTGCGTGGTAACCGTCACATGTTTAAAATGGCTACTCCGAAGCAGAAATCATTTTGTGTTCTCGAGTTTGCGAAGTGCAATTCCGTGATTACAGTGCAAAGACGTTTCAAGTTGTAGTACCAAAGTGATCCTCCGAATGGGTGGAACATTCGCAGATGGTATCGACAGTTTGCAAATACAGGATGTATATGTAAAGGAAAGAGTCCTGGCCACCCTCGTATTCCCGACGAAAATGTTGCACGGATTCAAACTGCTTTCCAACATAGTCCTTCAAAATCAACTCGTCGTGCTAGTCGGGAGTTACAACTGCCTACAACAACAATTTGACGTGCCTAGAACAACAGATACAATGCTCGAATGTGGGGTTTACAGAACCCACATGTAGCCTTTGAACATGTACGAGATTCGCCCAAAATCAATGTGTTTCGTGCGATATCCCAATCATCTGTTTACGGCCCATTCTTCTTTGATGGATACACGGTTAACGATCAGCAGTACTTCGCTATGTTACAGAACTGGTTGTTTCGAGGCTGCATGAAGACAACTTCATTTTTCAACAAGACGGGGCACTCCCTCACTGGTGTCGCCAAATGCGTGATTATCTGAATGAAACTCTAACGAACCGTTGGATTGGTCGTCAAGGTTTTGGTTTGGTTTGGTTTATTTAACTATGGTAAAGCACACTAGGGCTATCTGCCTAAGGGGAGGGATGCCTTCGTGGAGGAGTTTGTAAGGGAAACTGGCTCGTATACATGTTACACATGGGGAAAACCACGAAAACGCCCATGCAGCCAGCCCGTTCGCGGGATTTGAACCTCAGACCGAACTACCAGTGTTCAGCGACTTTACCGCTCGGCCGCTGGTGGGTGCTTGGTCGTCAAGGAGCTGGTGACTTAACATGTCTCAGCTGGCCTTCATGGTAACCGGATTTGACACCCTGTGACTTCTTCCTGTGGGATTTCATTAAAGACAACGTTTATGTACCACCACTCCCACAGAACCTGGAAGAAGTGAAGAACCGGATCCGTACTGCCATAACATCAGTGACGATGGACATGCTCGCCCGAGTATGGGGGGAATTTGAGTATCGATGTGATATTGTTCGTGTTGTTGACGGAGGACATATTGAACATCTGTAATCTGAACTTGAGAGGTTCGTACATATGTGTGTAAAGTTTCATATTCGTATGTCATACAGTTTAATAAACATATGCATTCGAAATATGTATATTCTTTTTGAAACACGCTGTATAATAATCTAAGAGTGCATTAATAGCCGTTTATAGGCGTTGGCCACTATTAAGGCCGAAAGCGGTGGTATCTCTGTTATGGCGCGGGATCTAGTCCGTTTCGCTATCATAATGTGGGAACTACTTAAGTGCTAGACTTTGCGAATTTCCACACAGAAGTGAAGCCGAACACCACTAGTGAAAGAATGTAAAAGACCCTTTTATTTATCACAAGCTGTTTAACAGAAGGCACGGACTTAAACGTGCATGCACAACAGCACCAAAATCTTGCAGTGACAACTTAAAAGTTAATTTAACAAAACATTCAAAGATAAAGATGTAGTGCTAGACTACACTATTCAGTTAAACTAACAGGTTGACTCATAAAACCTACACCAGTACGATATTAATTCGATGGCAAGAATGCGTAACTGTGAATCTTAATAGCGACTACATTAAGATTCAAAGTTGTAGAAAAACTAGCAAACGTGAACTTTCACTAGGGAAATCACGCTCTGTTTAACCTATTCGTTCCCACACTTAAAATATTTTTGTTCACCTACTTTATTGAAATAGTGGCGAGGAAATGCGAGGGGAAATAAGAGAATTCAGGAAAATAACTATTAGTAAATTTAAATTAGACTCTACAATGGAGGAACGTAATAAGTGGGCCACTGTTTACTTCTGTGAAAGGAAGAACAAATTTTTTCCATGACCTCTCATGGATTAGAGCTCGGGCCCTTCGAATTTCGGAAATTTCACCATCTAGTTCCCGAAGGTGCCATTTGTTCTGTGTGTTCCTATGTTAAAGTTGTAGAGACATTAGGTTTTTTTGGAAGCAGGAGAGAGAAAAAATGAGCAATGCCCTAGACAGGATCCGAACCATGGACCTCTCGAATACGCGTCGAGCGTGCTGACCACTACACCACGAAGGCATGCTATGAAGGCGGGTGAAATATTTTATGCACTCTCCTTTTTAAAGAGTGACTGAGGATTAGGGGACTCAGTCGTCAAATCCTGGTGGTGGAGAATCATCGTCCACCATTTTTATTAGTTTGGGCGTCACTGTAGAGACATTAGGTTTTTTTTTTTTTTTTTTTTTTTTTTTTTTTGGAAGCAGGAGAAATGAAAAATAAGCAATGCCCTGGCCGGGACTCGAACCACGGACCTCTCCAATACGCGTCGAGCGTGCTGACCACTACACCACGAAGGCATGCTAAAAAAGCTGGGGAAATATCTTATAAAGTTATTCGTGTTTGAATTCTTAACCTATTTTGTTTAAGACAGTTTTTATAAATAATATTGAATGAAGGGGCTGATAGTAAATGCTTACCGCTCGTCCTGTATCTAGGAAATTATTTATATACAGGAGGTTGTACCACCAGTTATCCCTACATTTCATGTACATGGGATTCAAATGACTATACCATGATGGTCCGGATCCCCAAGTAGGCGTCAAAATAACCAGAGCCAATATTAAGCCATACGCTGGCGTATACCTGGAAAATACATTAAGCATGAGCATTAAGCATAAGCATTTAACATTAAGCATGAGCTCTTGATGCTATAAAACTTAAAATTATGTATATATATATATGTAACAATAAAAAGGAAGGGGAGAGAGTATATATATATATATATATATAATATATATATATATATAAGAAATATCAAGAAATATTCAAAGAAATATTCAAGTAATATTTCTAAATATCTCCGTAAATGTTGCACCAAATTATACAAAATTTAGCATTTAGGCATAATCTAAGTCGTAGAATCGAAATATAGAAAAAAAATTGGCATGTTATTTCAAAAAAGTCCGACTTTGTGCCAAAATACTTATGTTTGAACAATGCCATATATAAATCTAATATATATCCTAAGTCGCGCTTTCCATACATGAAAAGCGCAATTTGAATTTCGTCAATAGGCCCAGTAAAAAGGGAGATATAGAACTGTCACATTTTTTGTCTTCGCAGTGTACATTTATAGCAATAAAATGATTCTACACAGTTTTCCATTTGAACATTTTTCTCTCTCTCTTTCCGTTGAAGAGTTAGATTTTATAACTTCTTCAAACATTTTTAGGGGTCACTGCAATCATTTGTATTCTACTGATCATGTTCAATTTGTAGTATATCTAACGTGTACAATCTGAAACCTTTCATTCAGAAATAAAATTGTTATTTACGGGTTTTTCTTTTGGAAACTTTATAAATACATACTTAATTTTGTAAGCGAATTAAAATACTCTAATGGCCATTCATTTAAACTAATGACCTGTACTTATTTAAATAAGTTCGAGGCCAAAATTACAATTACCTTAAGAAATTTGCAACGAAAAGCATAGTAATCCTGCAGTGTTTCTGTGTTGCAAAGTTTTTAAGATTTTACCTGATAAAGTTCTCCATTCAAAATTTATTGTAATAACATTCTAAAATCTTAAGATTAATAGCTCATAGTCCGACCATATTTTGTTTCTAATTTTATCTCTAACCTTTTTTCATAACTTTGGTTTTCATAATTCATATCTAATTTCTTGTATTGTATTCCAAATACCGTATAGATGAAGAATTATTGATAATAAAATTAAAAGCGTATTGCTTATTTTTTAAAAACAAACTCAAATTAGGAACTTAAAAACTCTTTATATTATTATTCAGATGATACTTAACTTGTGTGTTAATTATAATATGTTGCAAATATTTATTTTACTAGCACTGAATGAAATTAGTGTTTTAAGTTAAGCAGGTTTTCTGCTTCGAAAATGAAGAATTTTCACGGAGAACGTTCTCAAGAGAGCTTTTTCAAATTTACATTTAGGGAAAATAATAAAAAAAGAATAAATATATGTTTTCGTTTGTTAAGCAGTTTCATAGATGCGTTGAAAATAAATGTCTTAAATATGTTTAAATCATGTACAAATTTAAAATTAAACATTGCTCACCTCCAATACCTCTTGAAGATAAATTTGAAGACGTTTAAATTCTTTTCAGGAGATTTCAGATAGCGATACGTAGTAAGAAGACCACTGTAAATAAAAATATAATTATTAAATGATTGGTTATTTTCATTACCAAGTCTAGCTTCTATCAAAGGGAAGCCTGTTCATAAAATATGAATCAGGGGCGGACAAGCTTTGAGTCAGTAAGAGCCACATGGTGGAATTCAGGAAAGTTCGAGAGCCACAATTAGATTTTCTAAAAGCCACAAGTTCATTTTTACGTCATTTGAATAGTAGTGAAGGAAGTTTCAAATCGAATTCACTAATTATAGCTTGATGAGCTAAAAATATTCTTTACAGTCTTTAAAATACTCTAATTCTTCCCTGATACTTTCTTACAAATGTTGGTGTACATAACCTTATAATACGCATGAAACTTGGGACTCTTCTTAACTCTAAACCATAGTACTCAAATTTATCCCGTAATTTCTATGCATGCTCATCCCACGATAAGCAAGCCGCATATCTGTTGTCTTCAAATATTACGGATTCTGAAAATTTTCAATAGGTAACATCGTCTTCTAAGCTGCTACTGTTATCAGATTTATTGAAAATTCCCGAAACGTCCAGTTGTCACAAATTTCTCATAGATCTGGACTCTGAATCAAATTCTAAATTACTTATACAAAATTCCGTATGATGTTAAATGCTTCTGATATGCACTTTCTGCTTCGCTCACAGACGGAACCGAATTTAGTTTCTACCGATACTAATGATTCAGAATTTCGGCATACATCCGTAAAGCATCTGTCCATCCATTCGTAAACAATCTGCAAGAAAAATCTAACTTTTAAAGATGCTTCTTTCAAAATTGTTTGATAGAATCAGTACACTATTCTTATTTGTTTATTTATTTATTATATTTTTGAATAACATTATTAATTTTCTTAATTAACAAGAAATGAAATAAAATAATTACGTTTGGATACTGATAATTTTAATAAAAATGTGGAAAAAAAATAAATTAATTACTCTCTTTCGGATGCTGGATAGTTTCAATTTACTATATTTCATACATATATGTTATTTGCATACCAGTCGCACCACCCACACCTACCTCTGATGTATTTTGTGTCGAGCCATTGACTTGTTAGTTGTTTTTACAGTGTTTTTCATAATGGAGTATGTAATATATCGTATATTAATTTGAAAGCCTTCTTGCGAACCCCTTACTACCAACTTGCAGAGCTTCAGGCGTTCACGAACTACTGTTTAAAAATCGTAGTTCAAAATTATTATATGAAACGGATGCAACTAAAATGAATATATATGTGTTCAGATGTAAGAAGTTAAATACTCCCTCCGCATCGAGAAGATTATCGAAATTATAAATTTGAATCGGATTATTGAGACAGAAGCGTTAAGAGTGGTTTAGAATACATTACATTCTATTTTTATAAAATACAATTTTGATACTATATGTCGATTTGTTTCCATTCTTTTTTATACAGCTTTATACAGGCAGAATACAGTTTAGGGTCTTGAAAAGGAAATGAGGTCTTACAGGAGCTATTAAGAAACTTTAAAGATGAATAACCTAAGCATGGTACGGCATTTTTATACGGAGGAAGTATATGAATTTTTTTTTAAATTATCCAGTTTTGGTCAAATGCATTAAAGTATAAGCGCTTAGCTATCATAAAATTCTTGGTGATATGGGATTGAAAATAAAATCGCATGGATGCTTACTAATAGTGTCAGATTAAAAAAAAACTGTCGAAGAGAAATTTACGTATGTCTTATATTCGGAAAACTGACAATCAAATAACAAATAAGCAAACCGAATGCAATTCTTATTACATATGTTAATTCCATATTATACTTCTGTTGTTTCTTATCATTCAAATACAGTTCGAACTTGGAACCCCGAAATTTTACCTTTAGTTGCATATGTTGTTGTTACCAGTCTCGCTTCTCTAACGAAGGTCAGCACAACCCCAATACATTCATCATGGCTAGGTGTCATATGCGCCTGTCGTTGGCAAGAATCCCGAGCACTATATAGATGACAGTCCGATTTAATCTCAGTTTTTCCCCCGATTTTGAGAGAGAGAGCAACCCGAGGGTCTTCTATCCAATTCCCCTACCATTAACCGCTCAAGAGGATTTTCGGCTCGAGGATTATTTAGAGTGCCCCCCATACCGCACAGACACTAGACATCCCATACCTTCTCCGGAAAACTAGACCCTTCGATACGGCAGTTAGAGTCACCTACCACTATTTCCCGCCTGGGTGACTAGTTGCATATGATCAAGAATATTATAAAATAACAAAATATTTAAAGTTTTTAGTGCACTAAATTAAACCTTTACCATACCTTTTAATTCGTTTAAGTATACCAAATAGAGATAAAATAAGGAAAATTGCTGTATTATAATGTACGAAATTATTTTTTTCCATTTTGGGGTAAGAATACAGGTATTTTGTATTTGACAACCTCACTATCACTTAAAGTCGTGGGCCTGCTGATAATAAAGGACTGAGTATTTAGTTTAGATATTCATCGTTGTTAACAGCTGCACGATACCTAAAAACATCAGAAAAAAATTCTCCAAACCTTCAGTCAGAAGAATTATCTGGACTAAAGCATCCAAATACTGCGATGATTAGTTTGATCGTTAAATAAGGACATGTGAGTAAAATTCACGCTAAATAAAAATACCTATATCAAATTTTGAAATATTGCTATGGAATGTTGTATTGTCACCGCATGCGAAAAATTTCAAGAAATTCAAGTCAGTAGAATAGCATCAAAAATTAATTTCAATATTTCGCCCAGAGAAACCAATGGTATGTAAACTTTTAAAACTTCTTTGAAGGTTTATGCACAAACACTTAAAAAAAAAAAAAAAAAAAAAAAAAAAAAAAAAAATCTTGAATTTTCTATTAAGCTACGTTTCAAAAGAAAGAAACTTTCTTAAAATAGATTGTAAATTTGAAAGAGAGCTATTTGGATGTAACCGAACTATTTTATCGAACTCTATCTAATAGCAACGAAAACAACTTACAGTCAATCGACCTCCAGGTGCGATGAGGATAGGTCTTAAATAGTTATGTTTCAGTGACTCAAACGTTAATTCTAAATGTTAGGTGTTTCGTTTTGGTATATGTTCAGTTTTAGTGTATGTTTTATTTGTAACTGTTTCTGTGCTGTGTTAATAAATACGTTTAGAGCTAGCTGGCGATTTTATTTATAGAAGAATGGTTACAAAACGGCGCCCAACGAAATGCTGAGAACTTCTGTTTACAAAATGGCGCCCAATGAACTGTTTAGAATTTCTGTTTACAAAATGATGTCCAACGAAATGTTTAGAATTACTGTTTACAAAATGGCTCTCAACGAAATGTTTAGAACTTCTGTTTACAAAATGGCGCCCAATGAAATGTTTACAATTACTGTTTACAAAACGGCTTCCAACGAATTGGTGAGAATTTCTGTTTGGATTTTAAAAGCCCTTACCCTCAAATTTTTAATCTTTCATACTTGTTTATTGTTTGTAAATTTAATTTTAAACTTGTAATACTTGCATAAAAAGAACTTTTGAAATCATTACGATTTAAAGGAAGTTTCTACATTATACACAAAACTTATAATTTAAAAACAAACTGACTTACCTTACAAAGAAAATACTTTGTAAAGGAATAATTCTGTTCAAGACCAGCTCGTAAAATAAATGCTTGACTATACGCAAAGCTTCTATGAAGTTTGCTGTAAATAAAAAATCAGGAGAATAATGAATATACAAAAATAACTGACAACTTTGTAGAAAGCTTTATTAGAAGGAACATGAAAAGAAATTAGATTAAGGGACAAATCTGATCTCAGCTTCTTTACAAAAGTAGGTTTTTAACTTAAGTATAATCACATTTAAATTCTTTTAATTCATAAACAATTATTTGCTGACAAATGTCAGATCGAAGAAATAATGTATTTTGCAATTTTTCAAAAAGTGGTACCCATAAATATGCTATGTACACATATACAGCTTATATAAATACATATATATATATATACGTGTATATTTGTTTGTAAAATATACACGTATATATATGTATTATTCTACCATGCATGCCTTATGTTCAAATGTTGTAATTACACAAGATTTTTAAATACTCTCATCAAGAGTATACAATATGAACAATTGTATAAGCGATTTTTAGCGCAAAATTCGTCCCTACACAAAGCCAAAATAACAAGTCAGAGAATTACACAAAGTCAGTATCCATGTACCGCCAAAAATCTCCAATTTTCGCCAAAGGGCGCCCGTAAATATGTTTTTACCGAGATCAGTTACCATTGACCTACGATTTTCTTCTGTGGCCTTTAAAATTGTTCATCTTGCTATCAAAGAAGACATACCGCCGTTAGAAAAAGCAATAATCCATTTTATCCTTCTATCAGTTACAAAATTGCACGGATTCTCCAGAAGTTCAATTTTCAAACCTATCTGTAAAATCCATGGTTCAATTCTTAAAGATTCCACTTTAATTCTTGGCAATTTATCGGCAATGGGGTTTGAAATATATTGGCCAAATTAAAAGACCGTTTAAGTTTTGCATTAAGGAATACGAACATTATGTCCGAAAAGACAAAATTAACAAGTCTTCGATAATTTAATTAGCTAATGATTGTCGGGAATACAATTATAATTTTGAATTTAGGTCTGCAAAAATAATCCAAAAGCTTCTTCCATTGGTGAATTTAATCGAAAACTTTGCCGAAGTTTTAAGCTGTTTAACTAATAACTTGGAGTCCAATTCACTCTTTCCTAACGCGTTTAAAATTCTATTAAACTATTTTTTTAATTTCCAAAGCAGTTTCTGCCGACAGATGGCGCTACCTTCTGGCTTGCTTTAGTCCTGTAGGCTATAAATACGATCGTGGCTTTCCCTTCGTTGCAGATTTCTTTGCTTCTGATGAAGAGTGACTTGCACCTGTTTGCTCTCGAAATCGATAGAATTCTTGACTATAATTACGAACGCAAGGTTGCTTCTTTAATTTTTCTGTTTTAATAAGATTATGCAAAATTTTGCATAGTATGTTTTACTTATTTCATATAATGTTGAATTATTTCAAGTTGAGAGGTTACAACCTAATTACTTTGTTTAAATTAACTCACAGATTATTTCTTTTTACCATTAAAATGACTGAAATATTTAAAGGAAAAGAAATTCTTACTCGGTTTAAAAGCCTAAAAGTCATTTAGATAGTAAGCATCAAATATATTGTGTATATTTTCAATAGAGAAACACAAATCATGCATTTTAATGTACTGTTAATAATAATTATCAATACATTATTTCCTCAAAGACGCTAACGTCTTGCTACATTCGGTAGCTCTGAACAACACAACGCTACTAAGGACATATTGGACCTATTGCAGGCAGTTAGGTTTTACACGATAGCAGATATAATTCCCGTTGTTCTATCTCCTCTTCTTTGATATTGATTGATGGAACTGTTACACAGAACTAATCGCTCGGGTCTTGTGTTGCAATTACAGGTTTACGAATGTGATAGAGTTTTTAGATTTCAAGCGTTTGGTTTTAGAGTTTTATTGTGCAATGGAATTAAAAAAGTATCTTTGTATTAAAGTATCATTAGTGAAATGAAGAGAGTTATTGTCCTTGAGAAACTTCTTATTTGGGAATTGCTCGTCAGTTTTTATTTTAGAAAAATATAGCAAGCAAATTTGACAAATGGTGGTAGTGTCAATAGATGAGCTACGCACCATTAAAATTTTTTTTTCAAAGAACCTTTTTTTTACTGCTTCCGCCTATTACTAGGCCAAGACTATTAAATAAATGCAGCATAAATTGAAGGGTTTGGAGCTTTAAAACATGTATCGAAATTTCACATGCATTTTAATAATATTCTTCGGTGTTATCGCTTTACTGAATTTTTAAATGCAATGCGCTTTTAATGTCTCCTATCATCTCACAAACCTACAGTAGGTTAAGGTTAGGGGAATGTCTTTATATTAGAATCTAAGCAAACTTATTTCAAGGAGGAAATTCCCGAAGAAACGAGTCGGATTATTTGTTTCTTGAGTTAAAAAAAAAAAAAAAAAAAAAAAAACTGAAGGTTTAAAAAAAAAACGGTAGGGTTTAAAGTTTTATCTTCTCCTCAACTGGTGAATGTGAGTATGAATTCAGCTGTTCTCAGTAACTAGGGAATGTCGTAATATTTTTTATTTTGCTTTACTACATCGGTTCAGATTAAATACCGAGAGAGGAACTTAAGCTTAAAAGTATAAATTCAAATTGCATATAGTTTACTCATACATTTCATTGGTTTAATGCAGAATACTCACACAAGTATGCAACCTAAACGTTGAAAGCATTTTTATACTTGTTATAAAATATCGAGTAACGTATTAAAGAAAAATCTAAGAACATTGGCTCATCGTCTTCAGCCTTACGGTAATTAGTGTCAGATTCTTTCATTTGTTCAAGGAATAGACATGGGAATATTTATCATTTTCATTCATTTATAAGCAGAATTTTCATACTAATGTATATTTGATCTAAAGTAATGCATTTGTAATACTGATATTAAATCTCATTGAATACTTACATGCCACATCATAATTGACATACATGAATGTATTAGATATGACAACCCAGTAAAAGACGATGAAGATAATGCCATACACAAAGCTCAAATTTTCTTCAGGGCATGTGTAGTCAGACAACTTCTTCGCATTTGATGTAAAAGAGAAAGCTTTCACGGCATTGAACAAAGTTGCTAAAAAGAAAGCAAAATATTTACTCTTTTAAACGTGCTTTGAATCTTTCTACTTAAAGAGTGATCACGTCATCACTATCACCAAGGTTAAAGTTATTCATTACGTCTTTACAAAAAAATAAAAGTAAGTAGCATCAAGGAAAGCAACGATTCTAAATTTTAAATATCTACAAAAATTAAAATAGTCGTTAATTAGAATAGTTATTAATTTATGTACGAAGGATTTCTCATATACAAATCCAGCTAACAACAGCTAGGTAATTTATGAGAGAAGAAAGAGTTTCTGGAAGGATCAGATATATTAGAAAATCATAAATGAGACTAAGAAACTTGGATAACTTTTAAAGGCATTGCTAGTTATATTTATAGTATACTGGGAAAAAATATAAAAATTTACAGGACTTTTGAGTTAAGGAGAGAAAAGGATAATAAATTATTTACTATTTTTCAATCTGATCGTGATTTACATTATTATTATAAATTAGAACATTATTATAAATTTTAAATTAATCACGCATCGGATCTAGGACCTTAATTAAAGGGAAGGTCTAGAAGGATAAGTGTAATTTGTGCGGATATGTAGCAATATATTTATATTGGTATGGGAAAAGGTTAAAAGAAGAAAAATACAGTAACACCAGATATAGCAGCAATCAAATAAAATATTAACGTCGTCTGGGCATTAGAATATCAGCACATTTATACTTTGAAAAAAAAAAGGGGGGGGGAAGGACAATTCCTTATCTCCTGTTATACTGGGCCGACTGACGAAATTTAACTTGCAATATTTCATGTGTCGAAAACGCGACTTATGATATGTATTAGATTTATATATAGCATTGATATAACATAGGTATTCTGACACAAAATCAGACTTTTTTCTGAAATAACGTTGCGAGTTTGTTTTCCTGTTTCGAATCTACGGCTCAAATTATGCCATATCAAAGTTTTACTTTCTCAGTGTTAATTGAAATTGGTATATATTTATTAATATCTCTTTTTTTATTAAGCTTAGTTGACTCCTTTTTTCCGAATTCGAAATTTAAGTTCAATCCAAATAAAATTCGCACCTATTTTCTGGTTTTTTTTATTTGTATTTTATAGTAATGCTTTTAAAGTTTTAGAAAACATTTCGAAACCTATCAAAGTTTTATCATAATCTAAAAGTAGATGCATTTCTAGACATACCTGCAAAAAAGTAGAGTTTTTTATTCTAAATTTTCAAAGATTTACGTGAATTTATATACTGGAGCGTTTTAAAATCTGACCTATTTGTCGTAAGCGATTATAATGCGAATTGTGCTTTAGGCACTTGGTTAACATTATTTGAAATTGTGAAAGATGATTTTTTCCCCCGCGCGTACACAGTGGCAAAAAGAGGGGAAAATAGGCTGCTATCAGTGAAGAATTTCGCCATGTGAATTATTCTTGGCGCTAACTGAAAAGAGTATACTAAGCCGGAAATGATAAAAAAAATCGGCATTCCATTTCAGAAAATGTCTGATTTTGTGTCAAAATACCTGCGTTGTGAACAGTGTTACATATAAATATAATATATATTCTAAGGCGCGCTCTCGAGATCTGAAAAATGCAAATTTAAATTTCGTCATTCGGCCGAGTAGAATGGAAGATACAGAATTGTTCCCCCCCCCATTCTTTATGCAAGGTGTACAATAACCTAATATGGAACGTGTTATGCGTGACTTCAGAGAAAGGTACGCCTGTGAAATCTAATAGTATCAGTTAAACGACGGTTACCAAACAGTTCATTGTTACTCTAGGAATACAAAGGCAAATCAACCGGTATAATGTTTAGTGTCGGTGACTGTCGTGCCGAATGGCCCGAGTTCGAATCCCGCAGAAGGCATGGATGCTTATAAATGTATAGTGTCTCTTCGGCTTGGAAGCACTCTAAATATGCGACGAGCCGAAAGTTCTCTCGTTTATTATGGTAATACTGCTGGAAGGAGAGATGGATGGGAGATCCTTGGACCCGTCCCCAAAGGGTGCTGTCTATCAAAATTGCGGGCGGAACTTAGTTAAATGGCACTGTCACCTGCAAGTTGCTCAAGGCCAACGACAGGCATATCTTGTGCGCTCCTTGCCACGAGGAATTTCGTTGGTTTGGGCTGTTGTTACTGTCAGACAAGTAAACGTAACGTATCAACAACAGGAATACAAGCGATTTCTTGTGATCTCTTTGTTGTTACTGTCAGACAAGTAAACGTAACGTATCAACAACAGGAATACAAGCGATTTCTTGTGATCTATTTCTAAAGAAATAATCTATCAAGAATAATTACGTGAATACCTAAGATATTCGATGTCAGATAGACTGCAAGTAGGTAGTCTTTAGGAGGAAACACGATAACCATGTGATGTATCGAGGATGGTTGTTTGAGAGAAATCATACCTTGTGAAGAAATTAGTTGTTCTTGTAGGTAGGAAGTTAACGACATTTTATAACTATATTTATAGACGGGTTAGCAAAATTTTGATTTAGTAACCAAGTAAATACCCTAATGTTGGATTGTTCTCGCAGTAGCAAGTATGCTCACCAACACCCGCTCATCAAAGACACAATTTAGTGCACAAGAACTAAATAATCGAAAAATGGAGTACTGTTTATTGAACATCTGAGTAAAATACAGTTTTTATACGTTAATGTTAATTTTAAATTAATATAATTTCCTGTATGTTTGCATTATTTTAAAAGTTTTTCAAGGAAAGTTTATAATTTCTTAAGAATATTTTATTTAGAGTAAACCTCTGTGTGTATAATGTAGATTAGGTTACTATCGCTCAGTATCAAAATTGCTGTGCTTTTATTCTTGCAGAAAATGAATCATTTTCCTACATAATTCATAAGATTTGTTTTAAATGAAGAATCAGATTCACAGTTTGCTTAAATTAAAATCAGTATTACAGCCAGTCAGATTGATCTAAATAAATAGAAGATAAAGATATATCAGCAATATTTTTATTAACAGCTTATGGAAATTACTTAAGTCTCGCCTAGTTTCTTAAAATGTAGATCAGTTACAGTAAAAAAGAAATACACATGCTATAAGAAAGTCATTTTTACAAAAAGAAATTTCGTAAAAGGAAATAAAACACACTGTCTTTAACATTTTATGCATAAAACTGGAAACATTACGTATAAAATAAAATTTTTGCTATCAGTAAAATTTTAGATACGTTCAGAACACGGTAATGAACAAAATTTTAAATTAAAAGAACAATTTAATAATACAGAAAAAAAGAATTTGTTATTAAACTGATAGCTAATTATATATTTATTTTATTGTAACGGATGCGAATGTTATAGTGGACTACATATCCTTCTAGTGGCAGGCAAAAAAGGGCTCTTATAATAATAATAATTAAATAAGTAAGTATAGGAATATGTTAATACAAGTATCAAAATAATTAAATAAAATAATATGAATATGTTAATACAAATATCTTCTTTATAGGAGTAACCTGTATCACATTTAATGCATCTAAAAGCATAAAGACAGAAATGATTCTTTTACAGATATATAAGACGAAATGCGCAATATATTTTGCAAGATATTATCTTGAAACGGTAATAAAAAAAAAGTATAGTCTTACATTTGACACTATTACTTCTTTCCATTTCTTCAGATGACCATACATAGCTGACTATTGTGCCCGTTATTATCAAGGCAGCTAAGATTCCAATCACGTATCTGGAATGAAAATAAGCGTATGTATAGCACAAGTAAGTATTCCTTTGATGAATTTCCCAAAATTGGTATTTTTATAAAATGCATCTAAATGTAATTTTATGACAGATATGTGAGAATCATGCCAAGTATAAATTTTTTAGCCTAATGAAAAAAGTGAGTTTTGGGCTTTACATGCGCTGTTTATGGTCATTTTCTACTATTTCAGACTAATCTGCCTTCCGATAAAAAAAAAAAAAAATTACAGTTTTAAAGACCATTTAACATTTTAGTTTGGAGCAGGAGATCTGAAAAATGTGCAGTGCCATAGGCGGGATGCGGGATTCGAACTTCCGGCAGCTAGCCGGACGTGCTTTTCAATTACACCACGAAGGCATGCAGTGAGAAGAGAGGAAAACTTAACAAAGTATAGACGAAATCATAGTAACAAAGTATAGAAGAACTTATTGTACCTTTCCCCAGAATCAAATACGGAAGCTGCGAAAAATTGGTTCAGCGTACCCGGAGAAGGCATGGATGTGAATTGTCTATTCCTATTTTAGCAAACATGTTGCGGCGACAATCAAGTTGGCACATTAATTGTGCCTATTCCAAGAGATTTTACATTTTAGATAAATTTGCAATAAGAAAGAAAGCGCAGACAGTCTGCTGTGCAGCCAGGCCAAAGCATAGAAAGCAAGTGCGTAATGTTCAGGATGAAACCTCAAGTCAGACCGAGTTTTGGTTCTCAAAGCATTCTGATTGGATGGTTAATATTGCTGTAAAATTATTATTGGCTGTTAAGAGCTTTAGTTCCGTTTACATCATCAGAATTATATAAGAGTCATACGGCATGAATTTTTCTCGAAATGACGCAGTGAAGAGAGAGGTTACTATTTTTAGAATAGAGAAGGGAAATTAATTTACGCTGCTAATTTAATCTTTTACATACTCCTTTTCTTACATATCCCCCCTTCAAGAAGAAAAAGGCGTAGCGACAGACAAGCCTTTAAAAAAAAGGGGGTTAAAGCATTAGCAAATGAAAAAAAAAACATAAATTATAAAATTTTGATCCTGTAAAGTATAATTTATAAATATTAATTTTTAGAGTCCTATTGAATTTTTCTGCATTTTAGTCCGAAAGTCATTTTGTTTGAGAGTTCACATAATCATAATTCTTCAGAGAAGGTTCTTGTTATCACAGAATTTCACAAAATAAAACTTTTACATTCCTTTTCTTACATATATATATATATATATATATATATCAGATCAAATCGTTCTTTCATGAACAGAAACATCTATTAAATGATTCAAATTTCTGTGTTTATTAATCATCACTATATGCTCATTGAAGACATATTTTAAAATCTTAGAATTTTTTTCTTAGAACCCAGTTTTGCATGGTGTCAGTGCATGGCTTGACCTGCTGGAAAGTGGTAAGAAATGAAACGTAAACACCTTCATTTTAAATTTAAAACAAATATGGTATTATTGGATGCAAATTTTATCATAACTCTTCTATTATTTGCTGCGAATGAAGCTTTTTTAATTTTTTTTTCATACAGTCTCGTAATCCCATAAGACATCGATCAAAGAACTTTAGATCATTTTAAAAGCATTTTGATTTTTGCAATCGTCAGTAACCACCTCATATTCTTTAAGAATTTCTTCATACTACTCAAATTACTGCTTATCTCTACCAACATAATTTGTAAAATCATCAACTTATTTCAGAGAAAATTAAAATATAATTCTGCATTAAAATATACCGTTTTTGTAACTGAAGAAGATGTCGAATTCCTCAGCAAGAAAGATCTAGATGAGTCTCGTTTCAAACAGCAACAACGTGACTTCGAGAAAGAGTACGCGCGTTATCACCTTTTACCTCCTGCGGGACACAGGACATTACCTGCTGAATATTTATCAAATATTTAGGTTGAATCCCATAAATCTGGCAAAAGAACTTAACCTGTTTAATAACAAGAAAATAACTTATTGTTTTTAAAAAACGTTTGCAGTTTTAACCTCCTCCTTTCCTTTCAAAAGAAAAGGATTTAAAATTTATAACCCTGTCGAAAAAACTTTGGCAAACTAATTTCATCTTTGTAGTGTTTCGTATTATCATGTTTATTTTAAAAACTATACATAGCATTTTGTAATTATATCTGAAAATGAGGATTATGAGGTAAAGTTACGAAATTATAAATCATTTTTATGTTTGCAACTCATTAATTTTCTTTCTTTAATGTCTGTGACGCAAAAATTGAAAAACCCGTTATGAAATATTCTACATATCGGATGAAATTATGGAAATAAAAATGAAATAATGATAGCAAACGAGGAAAATAAACAGAGCAATTATTTTTTTTAAATGAATGCTATATAATGAATGTTAAATAATTTTTGCTAATAGCTACACAGGCAAAATCATAAAAGATTTTTTAGAACTTTTGTTATTTATTCTTGAGCTTTAACTGATCAAATCTGAAAATTATTTTAAAAAATTGTTTCTAAATGCACTCTTTTGCAAAAAATTCGAAACACCAAGAAGGACTTTTGCGACAGTGACGAAATTTGGTATGCAAAAACATCTTGATCGAACATGCAAATGGTCAAAGTTTCAAGGCAAATGAATAGGAATTGGAATCATAGCGCGCATTTCTAGTGCGCAATTCGCAAAGTATAAAACCAGTAACAGAGACGGAAATTTTAGCTTTTTTTTGTTGCTGCCATTGTAATTCCATAAAGAAGCAACTAAAGATGCCCTTACGACGATATCGAAGATCTTATAGATAACTAAACGACTTCGAACGTGGTCGCATTGTAGAGTTACGTGAAGCTGGGTGGTCATACCGAGCAATAGGCCGCCACCTGCAGCGTACAGAGACACTGCTGTGTAAAACTGTTGGCAGCAATGGTTGCAAAAAGAAAACCGCCGACGAAATGAAGACTCTGGAAGGCCAAGGAGCACAAATGCGAGGCAAGATAGGATGACTGTTCGCCAGGCCCGGACCGCCCCAACGATATCATTGTCGACTATTCAGCCCACTACAGCCACGTCTATACCTCTTGTGGTACCTTCCACCATCTCATGGCGCTTGTCTCTGAGGTGGGGTTACGCTAGCAGAGGCCTTTAAGACGTCTGCCTCTGACCCCACAACATGGGCGGAGTAGTCTGGAGTAGTGTCGCAGTCGATCATCATGGCTGCCATCAGACAAGCATCGTATAGTGTTCAGCGATGAATTCCGGTTCACTATTGAAGCAGATGACCACCGTCTTCGTGTCTGAAGAGGACGGGGCCAGCGGTTTCAATCAGTCTTTGTTTTGCAAAGGCATACAACTATAACCCTTAGTGTGATGGTGTGGAGCATTGTTTCTTATGACAGCAGGTCATCTTTAGTCCTCCTCCGTACATTTTCAACAGCACAACGGTATGTTGATACCATCCTGCGGCCGGTTGCATTACAGTTCATGGCACGTAATCCTGGGGCCATTTTTCAACAAGATAATGCCAGGCCAGATACCGCTCGCATATCTCTGGACTGTCTCCATGCGGTCTATACTCTTCCTTGCCAGCAAGGTCACCAGACCTTTCACCAATGGAACATGTGTGGAACATGGTAGGCCGCCAAATTCGGGCACCACAAAATATCGCTGATCTGGAGGGACAACTGATGAATGCTTGGCAGAATGTGTCGCAGGATGACATTAGGAAACTCTACCACCCATTGCCTCGACGAATTCAAGCATGCATTGCCGTCATTGTTGGTTCGACTAACTACCAATTTGAACACTCAGTGGGTGATAGTGAGCCGTGAGCAGGTACTATGACCTTGATTTTAGTTTATTATCTGTGTATCAGCTATATACAGATTCAATTTCATCAAAAACAACCACTTCCTTCACGGGGGCTTCGATTTTTTTGCAAAAGAGTGTATATTAATAAAATAAGAATTTATTATTAAAGTACGCTGTTTTTTAAGACAATGATGCAGTAAAATTAATACATTTGCGAGCATTACTGAAAGTGTGATCGGTTGTTTCTAAGCAAAAAGATGGTAACCGCGTAGTATTCAACCTACTACTTTTAACTGGACATTAATTTCTAAAATGACATCACTAAAACACTGCTTTTAAATTTGAAAGTTCAATGAAATGGCGGGAAAATGAAATGATTAAAAAAACAAAGAATTTTAGTGCCGCCATCTAACATATAACCAAATAACTAAAAGCATTTGATCGCATACTTCATGCTTACTGAAAACATACTGGCTAACATATATATATATATATGTGTGTGTGTGTCTGTGTCCCCTGCAAGGGCACTAACATAAATAATATAGTGTCTTATTACTCTTCGGCTTAACTGGTCTGCTGTTTCCTTCTTACTAAAGTTATAAAAAAATGTAAACATTTTGAAATAGGCGCAAATAATGTGCCAATTTGTTTGTGGCCGCAACATGTCAACTGAAATGAAATGAAGATTTAATCTGCCTCGGGTGCCAGTATTCTATTCATTGTGGATTGGCATTTCAGCATTCTTACTCCATCAACATTCTTGTTCTTCATTACGGATTCAACCTTTTATGTTCTACACCATCAATATTGCAAAGCACTTCCTTTTTTATTACATACATATGATAAAATTTGATAAAATCTTCAGTATTGTAAGAAATGCAATGCTTGGGAGATCTATAAATATCATATTATATATATATAAGTAACGGTTTTGCATTATTGCTATAATGAAAAGCATTTTGAATGTGGCTCTACATAAAACACTTGTGAAGTATGCCATCATTTCGTTAGGAAATCGCTCTTTTTGTATTCATGCATTTATATCGTCTTTATCACAACAAAGACGATATAAATGCATGATACGCAGAAAAGAAAAATAACATAATTTCCAATTTATATGCTGCAATAATTGAGTTTACTCATTTCCACAAAATTAACATTCATTCCAAAAAGGAGAAAATGCATTGTAACTTTTATATAACTGTCTGTTTATTTAAATGGTATGGGTATTTATCATTAAAACTGCAAGATTTTGTAAATGCACGCTTCCTTAAAGACCCCGACAAGGCCGTGAATTACACACGTTTTTATTATAAAAATGTTTTCCTTGTTCTTCCTTAGATAAAATAAATTCCGTGCTCTATTGCTTAGAAGTTCACTTTAAGATTAACATTTGGGCACTTGCTCATTATAGTAAAATTTTTGTCTGTCTCTAACCATTGACGGATTACCGGAAAAAAAGAAAAAAGATTGAGGATTAATCGCTAAAAATGTCCTTAGAAGTTGTTTAATGCAAAGGCTTTAAGTTCTAAATTTAGCTCAAAAGCATACTAATTTTCGCATATAGTAGTGACTGTATGAAATTAATTTACCTGTCATTATTTGTTGAGTGAATATTCAAATACCGAGCTAAAATAATGCAGCTATGATTAAAAATTTCAAAACAAGATGGATTATGATACCGAATGAAAATATCACACACCTTAAAGCGGCGAGTGGCTGAAGAAACCATAATGTGTTTTTATATTTTACTATATCGTTTTCGCTTCAGAATCTCTGATTCAAGGCACACCCGCTTATTGTGTTAAGACGGCACTCACTAACATTTTACTGTCCGGTTAGCATGATGGTTAGCGAATGGTATTAGCAAGACTTGTGCGTTCACAATCAGCGACAACTGGCTATTCAAGAACCCATATTAAGTTCAAATTCTGGATAAGAGACAGACATTTGTTACCATAGTGTTTTGGCAGGTCGGAGGTACTTAAGATCCTCCGATATGGTAGTCCTATTAAGAGGTTCTCAGGATGGGAACAAGATAAGAAAGCTTTTAAATTTTATAACCTGTTTATCAAAACAGGGATGGAAATTATGTTTACAGCCCTCATGTACTTTTACTATGTTTATTTTGTACTTTTGAATTTGAGTACTTCACACAATCTGCTAGTTCTTTCTCGACTTCAACTTTCATATGCCCTATGCCATGCAGATAAGCATAGCTAAAAATTTCAAATCAAGATTCATTTGTGCTAGAACATATGTATCCAATCACCTGACGTTCAAGAATTCTTTTCGTTGAGAAGTTTTTCAGTTTTTATACACTAGCGATTTTAATTAAACCCTCCCGCAAACATTTGAAAAAGAAAAAAAATTGTGCAAATTGTTTTAAATTCTCTTTTTTATTTTTCTGTTCGCTTAATGTTAATACAGGGTTTTCAGATTAATAATTCATTCTACTCCAAGGCCAAAACGGGTTCATAAACCAGCAAATGCAACATCATATGTGTGAATGACCAGCATTTATTCAGACAATTTCCTAATTTTTTTTTTTTTTTTTTTTTTCCAGTTAACATTTCAGAAACGTATTTGTTTAAAACAAGGATTTCAAACTTACATGACTTGCTTAAGGCTTGAAGCTCAACTTAACTTTCTTTTTCAATATAAAAATTTTAATCGTCAGTGTGATTTATTTTCATGATAAGCTATAGGCTGTACTCCTATGTTTGAAAAGTTGACAGAAAGTGCTTATGGAACAGTTTTATTTGAATACGTAGATATCTTCGAAACAACATTTATCGAAGTAACGCACACTTGCTCCCTACCTATAAAGCTTTTCGGCTATTAGGGAATATTCAAATTTTCAGTGCCGGAAAAAAGAACAAATCAGCTATGTTCTTGCAGAGTTTGAACTTCTGATCTTCCAACTGGCTAGCTGGACTTGCTATCACTTACACCAAGAGAATGCGCAGTGCGGAAGGTTAAAATTCCTTTTATAAATATCATAGATTGGTCATCGCAACACTTTGATGCGTAACTTGAATGATCTGGAAATTTTAAAGCGTTTCGAAAAGAGATAACAACGGAATTATAGTTTGAGAAATTAAACAAGTAAAGTGATTGTGGTGTAAGAAAAATCTCTATTTGATCGAAGAAACCCAAACTTCTTCGTTTAAACGTCTTTTGTTCAAAATAAGAACGAAATGGTCGAAAGAACGATATACTGTAAGTATTAATTCCTTTTGTATTAAAGTGCGAAGTGCGCTGTCCCTAGTGATATTTTCTGGGTAGAGAACTCTAACGTTCTCTGATACCCATATCCAACTATTTCATGGTTCATATCGATGCCATAATTAAGTCTGGAGTTTTGGAATGAAGAAGCATAACGTTAGAGAAGAAAATTTTATTCTGTTCCTTTAACTCTATGTGGCATCACTTTTTCTCCATTTTAAAATTCCATTCAAAGCTAGAAAAAGAAAACATTTCTACTATTTCTTTAATGTCAGAAAACGTATCATACAGGTAGAGCTGAAAGCTTATGCATTTATTTTCTTCGCAAGCAATTTTAATGTAGGAATGTTTCTATTACGTACTGTAATGCACAGAACATTAATTATAACTATGTTTGTATTGTAATATTCTAGCTAATTTGGACGTTCTTGAGGGCTAGAATATTGAAGAATTGTGTAGAGACTTGTCGCAGAGTTTTAGTCAGTAACCAATCCAAAGAAGAGTTAAATTTACTCTTTATTCCAACTCAAAATAAATGAACGGATGGTCCCCTTCTCGGTCTTACAATAAGCCTTCACTTGAGCTTTAACTCAAACTAGGAGATAAGAAACTAATACTACTACTAAAATAAATACTTCTGATACTAACTAAAATAAAATCAGTCGAAGCTGCACATAATTAATTAACAGTGTCGGCCCTTATTCAAGATCACCGGCGGATATTAGCAGGCACGTAACAACACGGACAATATAGTAGTAGTGCGATTATAGTAGTAACAGTATAGCTATTAGCAACAACGTGGCCGGAAGGTAGAACACGATCTTTTCACTCTTCTACCCTCTTCTAGTTAGCCTGAAGTTAGCCAGACTTCAGTTTAAACACCGTTTCTACCTCATTTATATAAAACGTGAATCTGAAAACTCATTCTGGCAGAGAAATGTAGGTGGATAAACGAGAAAGTAAAGGAAAGGCGTAAGCAAAATAAAAATAACTGTTAGAAAATTAAAGTAAACTCGTAGAGTATTATCTGTGATTTGTTTTCAGTTTGGTAACTATATTTATACTGTCTATATTTTCTTAGCACCTTTTAGTTGTTGAAATATATATGTCGAAACATTTCGTAGTTTTCTCTAAGCGTAAGATAAGTTCTAAGATGTTGAGACAGCATTTTAATGTAATTTAATGTACCAGATAGTGCATTCTTAGTCCTGTTCCTTTCGTTATATAAAAATTCTTTGTATATTATTTTACATCAAATTTCCGTGATAATTATGCAATCTTCATCAGAGCTCGTGGTGTACTGGTCAGCACGCTCGACGCGTATTCGAGAGGTCCGTGGTTCGAGTCCCGGCGAGGCCATTGCTTATTTTTCATCTCTCCTGTTTCGAACTAATCTAATAACTTTACAGTGGCGCCCGAACTAAAAAAAAGTGGTGGATGATGATTCTCCACTACCAGGATTTGGAGACTGGGTCCCCAAATCCCCAGTCGCTCTTTAAAAGGGGAAGTATATAAAGTATTTCTCCCGCATGCTTTCGTGGTGTTGTGGTCAGCACGCTCGGCGCGTCCGTGGCTCGAGTTCCGGCGAGGGCATTGCTCATTTTTCATCTCTCCTGCTTCGAAATAACCTAATGACTCTACAATTTCTAAAACTTCAAGTTAATCATAGTCTCTACATTTGTCTCTAAATACATTGATTGTAATAAAAATTACATTCCTTAATGACTTACGCCTATTTTATTCCTTTATGTTCATGGATCTAAGATTTTAAACTGAAATGAGGCTATGCTTTTTTCTGACAAGGGAACGGAAGAAACGAGATATAACCATTACCATGAGAAGTAAAATAACAGTTACGTCATTTTTTTAAAATTTCACATTAAGTTGACGTTAAAGGAAATAAACTTCAATATTTCATTTTACGTATAAAACTACTATATTTCCCTTAATTAATCAGCAGTCTAATGGTAGTGGCTGAACAAGTAAAATAGTATAGCACGAATGATTTCATTTGCTATTTTGATGTCTTGCAAATGAGCAATGTTAAGGGGTTATCACATCTGGCGACGGTCCCTGCTAGAGGGGACTTTTCTGAGAAACGAGATTCTTGCAGCACTGGTTTAAACGGGAGGATTCCTAGAAAAAAGAACTTTGCTGGAAGCGAATTCCCGCTTAGCTACGGTAACAATGCACCGGCTACGCGGGATTTTTTGAAACCTCGCCGATTAATAATGTTTCGGCTGCTGCTCTGTCCCGGGTAGAGATCAACCAATCAGACGAAAGTTCTGCTTCTGAAGGATCACGTGATCCCAATCTGAGCGATAGTCAATTACTGTTTGGCGTTCAAGTCTTTGTAGTAAGAGAAAATAACCTAGCTACCTAGGTTTCGTGGAAATGTGCGGGTTCTGAGAATTGTCCCTTTCGACAGCCAGTAGAGGAAACATATGTGATTAGAAATTTAAATGTATTAAGTTTTCAGGGAAAAACTTTCAAGAACGAGTATATTTAAGTAAGAAATACCCAGAAAGCTCTGCCGTAATCTAAATTCTTATATTATGGTGGATTAATTTCTAATGTAATTTTTTTTTAATTTTAATTTTTAATCTTATTTTTCTTATTATGGTATCCTTTCACACTAATCAGAATTATTTTGTTATGTTTCTTAGTTATTTTTTATCGGAGAATAATAACAGAGAGGAATATTTTATTATTAAAAATTTATGTGAAAATTTCCGTATATCATAGTAAAGACTAACACTTTTCTCTCGCTTCATACTTGTATGTTATATTTAAACCTTTGTTAATTAATTTCAACATTCATACTTACAATGAGATGAATTGAGAAGTTGTGAAATTCACCGGCTCTCGTATCTCGCAGCGGCTAACATCAAACTTCCATGGAATTGACAGTTTCTCTGGAACTGGTGCAAAAATGTAAGATTAGTGCATGCAAAATAAAATGTAATTTATTATTAGCATCACAAAATACAGCATAATTTATTATTACAGCTACTATTATTACTAATAATAGCAGTAATAATAATGATATCATCATATAAATTTCATTTTTTTAAATATTGATCTTAAAACGTGTATTTTCATTTACAAAGTTTCTCAAAATCGAAAACAACCTTAGCAAGCAGAGATTCTGCAAACATGAAAATAACTTTTCAAATGGTCCTTGCAATTCAAACTGCTCAGTTAGTAATATGATTATTATGCTTTAATAAATTAAATGCAAAGACCTTTTATCCTTTAAGTGTAAAATCTATTGAGATACTCAAGAACAAATTTATTGACTTATAACACTTGTCAGTGCCAACTGCTTAAAGATTTGGAGCAGTTTTTATCAGATACAGGGAGAAACTGGAACAAAAGTAGCTGGCTTTGGTGATTAAGGGTTACAGATTGGATAACATAGCCCTTGTTATTAAATTAATACCTGCACCGTGAATGAATTAAATACTAATATTCTTATGAGTTGCTTTACATAAAAATAAGGAACCTCTCTCCGTAACTTATTTAAGTATAATGGTACTTTACTAACTGGGCTTTGTGGTCTACAAAGACTTTATAAAAATAATTTTTTGCATTTACAGATCCTCACATCCAGAAGTTTCCCATAAAATGTGTTTTATATTTTAAGAAATTTCGAAATCATAAGACTAAATCTAGGATCATAAGTTAAAAACATGTAGCTTTTAACCATCGTTTTTTTAGTATCATGTATTTGATGGCACCTGTTTCTAAATACAGTGGAACTTCGAATCACGAGCGTCTCTCAACACGAACAAATGATCGGTTCACGATCAAATTATCTGAACCCAAAATAAATACATCACGTGACGAATGATATTTTGAATTATGAACTCTCAAGTGGGCAACAAATGATTGTGAAAGGGGATTTTAGGAAATGTCTGGCACAGAATTAACACTCAGGGACTTCTAGAAACACCATTTAAATATTCCATTGTTTAATTCTCATTTATAAAGACTAGAAGTAAGTGACGTACTTGACATAAGCAATCAGAATGTGCAAGAAGAACCTCAAAAATTGGGGATCATAATGATCCCATGAGTCCCAAGCAGAGCCAAATGCCTCTAAGAAACTAAGAAAGGATGAAAGGAGATAGCTCTAGAACAGCGGTCGTCAACCGGTGGTCCATGAAAACATTTTGATGGTCCGCAGAAAAATTGGGACATTGTTTATATTTTATGAATATTCAGTTTAAAAAATGACGAGTAACAAAACTTATTATTGAATATGGGTTATACTTTTTAAAATTTTAGCTAGTACCTTTAGCGAAATTCCTTCTGAATTTAGCGGCTTTTTAGCTACTTTTGCAGGTGTATATAGCGACATTTGAAAGTGAGAGTTGGCATCCATGGATATGCTGCTGTTATCAATAATACCGCGAACTAGAATTCTCTTTCCTTTTGAATTACAAATATATGCTATTGTAGTCGTTAATAACACAGGTTTTCCTCCGTGTCTATAGGCAACTTGGAAATTTTTGAAACCTCCCTTCTTGTTTCTAAGCAGTCCTGAATTTCCGTTTTTGTTTGTCTAACTGTTGATCCGGGCCATGCTGAGTAGCGATGATTATTATTTTACATAATTAAACATGGCGGAAACACCTTATTTTACTGATATAGTTTTGCGTTTGCGGTTGTTCTTGCTTCGTGAAATTCTTTTTCAGTGAAATGGAAATGTAAAGTTCTGTACAAGAATGTAAGATTGTACTTTTCATTACTTTTCAATGTGAACGAAATACGGTATCAGTGAGATGTTATATTTTATGTTATTATTAATATCACACTAAAATATATAATTTAAATTTTTATTTTTTAAAAGTTATTCTATACCTATCTTGTTACCTTTAATGGGTGCATTTCACATTAATAAAATAAAAGTTTGCTTATTATTATTGTATAAATGTATTTACTTTTTTTTAATTCGTATTAGTGTCCGCCAAATATAAAATTATATATGTAGTGATCCGTGAAGTTCTAAGAGTTGACGATCGCTGCTCTAGAAAGCCCAGTTTGTTATGTGATGCTTTCACGGAAAGAGACTCGTCGTATTAACAAGAACATCTCTTTCTTTTTCCATCTTATCAGTTTCAATGTATGTCGTACACTTCATTTTGTACTGGAATAATCGTGAGAAATGAGGAGAATTGATTTTTTTAAAATTTTTGCGCAATACCAAATAATGCTAAAAACAGGATAAAATTTTCTTTTCAGTAATTCTGGTTAACTGAACAAAAAATGAATTTTGATAGGTAACAGCTAAAGCGATTAAGCAGTAAAAATACAAAAGCAAAGATACGCAGAAGCATCATCCTTTTCATCCTTCTTAGCTAAAGTGAGCACGAGACCAGTTTATTCGGGACATAATTACTTCCTTTCGCTTTCTGAGGTAATGGCACTCCTCAACTTAGGGAAGGTTGGACCCAGAGTTCCCAGAATCTTTTATCTGCGTCAATCTATCATTTAATGAGTAATATTCTGTTCGTGTCTTAAACAAGTTTCCATCAGTACGCATTAAAGAAAAATCGTTCGACATCAATCATAAAAATTTTGGAAGCTAAAGTGGTGTAGAATCAAGAATTGATAGGTAAACTTATCAAAGCCATGAAATTAAAGAAATGAGTTTTTTCTTGCGGGTATAAAGAAATGTTTTAAGCCAGATTAAAGCACTTTCATTTCTGCTCAACTTAGCTTTAAAACATTTTGAAAAACGGAAAAGCGAAACGATTCCTTGTTACACTTGGGCAGCCAGCATAGAATCTAATTGTAGCCTAATATTAATCAAATAATAAAATCTGTTTTGTCTCGTCAGAATTATAATTTTTAGTCCAAAGGACTAGTGTAGTCTAAAAGGACTGAGGGACTATTGTTTTCGTTTTGCGATTTTGCTTCAAATCACTCTGAATGACCTTTTCACTTTTCAAACTGTTGCCACTAACTGTTATCGTCCTGTATTATATTTGAAGAAATTAAATCCGATAAATATATGTATGTTTTTCGCATTGTGAATAAATAAAGGTACCTAAAGCATCCAATTTTGAATGACGTAATTCTACTGCGAATATGGGCATCTGGAAGCCCAAATTTGAAATCTGGAACTTGTTTTATTAACGATTTCATATTTTGTAAAACTTAAACGAATTTTTTATTAACAAACTAAAAGCGAGCAATGGCAATGTTGTACAGAAAAGACATTTTTATATCCAGCGCGTGAGACTGTGTATCAGAAATTCTAAATATAAGCTCAATTTAAAATTATTTTGCGATATTGCTCTTGAATAGAATACTGATATTGCTTTGTGTTTGCCGGTTTCTTCTTGCTTTTCATGAAGTTCCTTTTCAGTGATATGGAGATGTAAAGTTTTCTGTAAAAGAATTTTATGGTTTAAGTGCGATTAACCGTATTGGTACAGGGGTGGAGCCCCCGTCCTCCGTCGCATGTCATTAAACGTCAGTGGCTTTTTTAACTTTAAGAGAGAGCCTACCATCAATTTTTTTTTCATATTATTTTCTAGTCATATTTGTAGTCATATATTTTGTAGTCATTTTGTAGTAACTATGTATAACGACTTTTACGTTAACTGTTACATTTTGTAATCAAAAGTTTAGATTTTGAATAACCGACAGTTCTTATGGAAATCAAATAACATAAAACAGAAATCTTAAAACCTTTAAATATGTAATATATAACTATAATTGTACATAAATAGATAATGTAATTGAAACATTGGAAAGCGTAGCTTTGTAATTTAAGTAAAATCAGTATACACTATGGAAAGTAGCAGCATACTGGTTTGTATACAGAAATGTACTGTACCTGAAAATGTGATGGACAGAGAAAAATTAATCCTAATTTACAAGCTGCAATCAATATTACATATACTTTACCCTGGTGATTTTTCTAGCGTTCAAAAGCGCGAGTTTTCCTTTGGTGTGGATTTGAAAGATAAATATATTAATTGTTTTCAGACGTAAAATTTAGATTACTTCATACGGTTTAAATATTTATCTATGGGGTCCAACGTTTGAACAAAACGTAATCATAATTCAAAGGGAAGAATTTTCTCAGGCTTCAAAAGTTATCATAGAACTATTTAATAGAACATTTAATCACTATGGAATGAAGAACATTATGGAACAGGAAATTTATGAGATATAATAATGGAATGCGGAATAGATAAATGGAACCGTAGTTTGGCAAAAATTATTTCAAAAAAGCTACAAAGATAAATTCTTTAAAAGCTAATAAATGAATTTACCGAAAGGTTTGACTTGCAGATACAATTTGTTGTTATAATTCATTTGTTGCTGCATAATCAGATTATCAATTTAGCTGCTTTATATTTCCCACAATTAAGATAATAAATCCAGAATTGAGAAATATTTAATAAGCTATCGTTCCAGAATAATTGAATTAATTAAGAAGGAGAAATTTTCTTACTAATTTGTACTAGCTTATTGATGTCTTCGGTAGTGCATAAGGATGGTGTGCAGAGTCCAACTTTAATTGTAGTCACGTGCAAATTGTGTAAGAAACCACCCAGGTAACTTATGACCTAGAAAGTAAAAGAAAAGAAGGTTCAGGTTTACAGTAATTATAACAAATGTACTTGGTACCAATGTATTATGTTTACTTCAACAAAGACATATTTATACACTGTGAAAAAACTATTAAGAGCTAATAGCTATTAAGTGTTTTGTAAGTGTATAAATTTCTTCTATTCTCACATTCTATTCTCACTCTCTAACAAAACGTGGAACACGTTTTAGTTAAGAAATAATTAAATTAGTTTTTTCTTCATGCGCATTTTACTTCTTTGTAGAAAGTAAAGGAAGTATTGTAATCGCGAAAAATTTCGGGTATCATTTTTTCAATGAAAATATCCATTTTGACCGCTATCGAATGCCATTTAACGATGTTTTTGCGTGACATCTCTACGTGAAGACTATATATAGACCTCTTCCAAAAACGGATTCAAAAATGGATTTAAAATGGATTCAGACGAGATTTTTTTCGTGACGTTTGTACGTACATATGTATGTCTGCATCTCCGATAACTCAAAAAAGACAATTCTCAGAACGTTGAAATTTTGTACATGGAACTGCTATCACATGTAGTTGTCCATCTCTCTTTTCGGTTGCGATCGGCCTCACCAAAAGTATATATATCCACTCTGCTACCCACCGCCATGAGCTAAGATTTTTATTCTTATATGCTGGTAGATTGCGCATTTTTTGCTTTAAAACTGATTGAATTATGTTATTCTTATCTTTCAGTTAAGGGTTTTATGCGTTTAGTTAATCTGCATGCAATAGTTATAGAATTACCAACATTTAAAGGTTTTTGTTGTTTGACTTCTAAATTAGTACTTGTTCGGCGTGTAATTGTATCATAACTTAAAAGTTGTTTAACTGCGACTAAGCCTAACGAAACCACCATTTGTTTACATTTGAAAACTCTTAGTAGAATAGTGAATTCAGTTTCTGCACCTTCAATGCCTTTTTGCCGATTGAGAAGAAAAGTAAACTTTCAGTTTTGTGCACTGAAAAATTTACCTTCTTGTCCGCTGGCCGAATTGCGTGTTTTTACTTAAAAACTAATTTTAATTATAAAAATTATTTTTTAATTATATTAAGTGTATTTGGTGTTTTATGTCTTTCTATATTTTACAATTGTTATTGGAGATGGTTTGAATTTTATGTATTTTTTGCCTTGTCACGATGTGAGAGCGGAATTAATTGAATAAGAAATATATCTAAACGGAATTCCAGGAATTAAGTTTAAATGAAATGCAGCAAAAATGTGTACAGTTTAATATGCCGTGCAAGGAATCAGGTGGTGTCCATTTCAGATTTGTTAAGGATAAGGAGAAAAGGATACAATTTTGTTAATTTTTGTAAGAATTTTCAGCAATATGATTCTAATTTTTAATGTTGGATATGATTTCACAATTGTCGATTTAAACAATAATATCAGGAACGGGAGGAAGTAATAAACTGTGAAAAAAAATTAATTACATCCATAATGAAGCAAATGTTGCCCATAAATTTAAAAAAAAGCAAGGAGTTGATTAATTTAGGCAAAGATTTGAGTTCTTTGCTTTAAGGTTATCTGGCAGAAATGGCTTCTTCTTATAACTTATATACACTGGTTATCATAAATTACGGAAAAATCACAAAAAT